GCGATAATGACGGGGAAATGGTGTAGCGGCGCTCCCACACGTGATCAGCAATTTGCAAAATTGTGTTTGCTTTCTCGCGCATCCATAGGAGGTTTATTTGTGTGGATGAAGCTATGAAATATGGATGCATGTTAGAGGTACATTAATTTACCCGAGGAGCATGCATTTCACATACCATATGTTTATAGTTAATTAGCACAACAAACCCGCATTTAAAAATAATAATAATCTCAATTAAGTTATGCAAAATCAAGCAATCAACCTCCTTCTGACACACATTCTCTGACTCCTTGGGTAACCATAAAGAAATGGTTCTTTTTTTTTTTCCTCCCTCCTTTTTCCCATCTGCTATCTATAGCATCTCATGGAATATTCTACGTACTGGAACTCTTTCTAAAATGTTATATTCCAACATTGCAAAACCTTTGTAAGATTCTCTTAGGAAGTTTTTTTTTCTTATAATATTCAAATGTTCAAGACATCTTTATTGAATTTAATAAGGTAGCGTGTATTAAATATGCAGAGAAGCATATGAGGGAAAACGATGAACTTAAATCATTTAGAAGGGAAACCACTTGCAATGCAGTCATTCATTTCATATGGCTCTTCTAGGCAAAGCCTTTGTTACCGCTCCCACCAAACCACCTTTGTTGTCCCAATGCACCGAGTGAAGACAGTGAGAGAAAATGCTCCTTGGATTAAGTGATTCAGCTGTGAGCTATTGTTAACAGGGTTCATTGTGCTTGCCATCCGGTTAGGTATAAGATTAGTCATCCAGAAGCAGGACCAGGGATCAAGAGAGAAAGGCCAGAGGGAACCGTGCTTTGAACCTGCACAGTGAACCTCCAGGAGACAGCCTTGACAGCAGAGGAGCAGCAACAGCCGAGCTAGGCGCCCAAGCATAAGACAGACTAGTAGACATTCCAGCCTGAGAGCCAGTAAAGCTTCGGGCCTTTGGATAAGAGGCTGGCTCTGTGGAGGGGCGTGCCTCTGGGCACTTAATTTGGGGTGCTAGGTTTACTGACACTCCCCCCCACTCCCATCCCCACCCTGCACTGGAACTGAGTGCCTGTGGTCTGAGGCTTACAATAGAGTGGTGTGCCCTCTGGATATTTATTGACAGCTTACAAAGAGCTTTGTGGCATTGCCCCAGCAGAGCAGAGATGAGGCCAATAGGTGAGGGCCTGAGAGGCCTGCCTGCAGGCTCCGCAGAGAAGAAACTCCTCTGACTAAACAACTGTATCCTGAGCATTTCTCACCTGACTTGTAACCTGTTGCCTTCCCTAATGAGCCCTATTGTGAGCTGTGTGAGGCTACTGCAATGAATTAGCAAACCCTGGTGAACAGTAGAGTGAGCCACGAGCGACAGAGTCACACTTGGTATTATTTGGAGTCAACTCCTTGTCTGTGTATTAGCCTTTAATTCCAACACCCAAACTCTTGTCACCGAGCCAGTTCCAAGTCCTAGCAACTTTAAGGACAGATTGGAACTGCCTCTGGGTTTCTAACGCTGCAATCTGTATGGAAGCAGACTGCCAGGACTTTCTCTTTGGCAACCACTGGTGGATTAGAACCATTGATCTTTTAGTTAGCAGCGGTGCATTTAACCGGTGTCCCACTAGGGCTACCTGTAGGTAGCATAGTCACAGGACTTTAAAGCTGGAAAGAAACATGGATAATGTAGCCTAGGCTCAGGTCCCAATGTGAAATCTGTGTAACTAAGTTCACGACAAGCAGCCCTGGTGGTGTAGTGTTATGTATCTGGCTGCTGACCACAAGGTCAGCAGTTTGAAACTAACAGCCACTCCTTGGGGAAAAGGTAGGGCTTTCTATTTCCATAAAGAGTTACAGTCTCAGAAACCCACAGGGGCAGTTCTAGCTTGTCCTATAGGGTCACTATCAGTCAGCATATCTTCAGTGGCCGGAGCTTGAGTTGAAGTTCCTGACAAGCAGTCAAGCCTCACAGGGCTGGTTTCAGTAAGCAGAGCCCTCCCGCCCTGTGAGACAGCTCCCGGTATGCAGCAACCACCCAACAAGACCATTAATAGCACATGCAAGTGAAATTTTGCTGAAGATAATTTAAGAAACGGTTGCAGCAGCACATGGACAGAGAGCTGCCAGTGATTCAAAGTTGGTTCAGAAGAGGACATGGACTGAAAGCTGAGAATACCAGAAAGATGTTTACCTGTGTTTTACTGGTTCTGGGAAGGCATTGGACTGCGTGGATTATAAGAAACAATGGATAGCCTTGGGTAGAATGGAATTGCAGGATGTTCCACTGAACTCATGCTGAACCTGTCCATGGATCAAACAGAACCAGGGAACACTTCATCATTTAAAATCAGGAGAAGGTATGTGTCGGGTTCTTATCCTCTCACCATACTGATTCACTGTGCAGAGCAAGTGCGGTAAGCCGAGAAGCTGCCCTTTCTGAAGAACAGCATCAGGATCGGAAGAAGGCTTATTAACAACCTCAATTATGCAGATGCCACAAGCCTGAATGCCGAAGGGGAAGAGGGTTTAAGCACTTTCTGACGAAGAGCAAAGACTAGCTTTCAGCTTATACCCCAACATAAAGAAAGGGAAAATTTCCCACAACTGGGCCAATAAGCAACCTCATGATAAACAGAAAACGTTGAATTTGTCATGGATTTAATTTTGCTTGGATCCACAGCCAACTCCTGTGGGTAGTGTTGCCAGGTGAGCTCAATCTGCCAACCTTGGGTTAGTGTAGTGCAAACCATTTGCAGCACCCAGGGACTGTCATGACCCTATGTGGGTCTTTAAATGTGATCTCACCTTGTGCTTTTCTCGTGAACTTGGACTTCTCGGTAGGGCAGCCGTGAACCCTGACTAGCTGTTTATAGTTGGGCCTTACTGTGAAGTCACTGCTGGCAGCCAGAATCCTCTAGGATTTCCCCACAGTCTCTTGTTTAGCTGGGTGTCCCCGGCCATGTACACATCTTTTCCAACTGCTGACGCTTAAGGATTCTTCCTCCAGTTGTTTCTATGTAATGCTGGTAGGTGTCTCCCATGGCTTGTCCAGGGAATGTCTGTGAAACTGCCCAGAGGGAGCCTTGGGATGGGCCAATGAAACAGTCTTGGATTACCCAATAAGTATGGTAAGCACAGATTTACTTGTGCTTACTTAGTAATCTATAATTAACAATTTCACAGTTTTGTTTGTTTGTACCACATAAAGATCCTGCTTCTGGGTCTGGCTGGTATTTGCGTTTCCCAACCCCGCAGCACTTTCGCACAGAGCAAAACTTTTTTTCAAATGAATGATCCCTGTGGTATGCTAGGTTATGTTTGGGGCTACTAATCTCCATGTCAGCAGTTTAAAACCACCAGCCTCCAAGGGAGAAAGATGAGGCTTTCTAATCCCCTAAAGAGTTACAGCCTCAGAAACTCAGGAGTAGCTCTACTCTGGCCTATAGGCTCGTTTGGTGGGAGCAACAGAGGCTGTGCCTGGGAAAGTTGGGCATTGAATAAGGAAGAGCGTAGTGGAATCGATGCGTTTGAACTGTGCTGGAGAAGAATGTTGAAAGGACCAAGGACTGCTACAAGGACAAGCTGATGTGTCTTGGAAGAAGTACAGTTAGAGTGCTCCTCAAAGGCACCAAGGATGGCAACACTTCGTCTTACGTACTCTGGACAGGTGGTGAGGAGAGACCAGACCCCGGAGAAGGACGTGATCTTTAGTACTGTGGAGTGGCAGTGAAAAAGAAGAATGCCAGCAGGGAGATGGATGGACACAGTGGGTTTGAACTGCTGACCGTGAAGTTAGCAGCCTAACCACGTGTAACCCAGTAAGCCCCCGGGGCTCCTTGAACGCAAACCAATCCTTCCTCACAGCCATCTCCACTTGCTGCAGTGAAGCTTTTAAATGGTTGGACAGGCTTCGAGCAGTTACTTGCACTTGAGTAGGTAACGCAACTTAGCTACAAATTTGACATAAAGACACACTGAGGGGTGGGTTTCGTTTGTAACTCCAGGGAGTGCCTGTACAGGATGCCGCATTTAGTGGCCTGACAGAGTCACAGCAGCTTTTAAACCAAGTTAAGAATAGGTGTAGGTAACCAAGAAAATCTTTTGAAAATGATGATGGGGACATATGCACAAATGTGCTTGATACAATTGATATATGGAATGTTATAAGAACTTTAAGAGCCCCCAATAAAATTATTTACAATAAAAAAAATAGGTGTAGGTAATAGAGGGGTTGGAGGAGATGGGGGACGCAATAGACAAACAGTCGTCACTCTGGTTGCCTTTCATTAACTTTGGAGAGAATCTGCGGAAACTGGAAGTGGAGTTAGGGATCTTAGGAGAGAGGTCAATGGGTCAATGTTTCCATGGGGAAACAGCCAGGGCTGTGAGTCTCTTCTACCGCATCTTTCTATTTGCCTGTTCCCGCGGCCAGGCATTATCTGATTTAACCGCGGGAAGTCATAACTTCCTTTTGGAGATGAAAGTTATGTAAGCTCTCCTAGGCTGCTCGATGTGAGGGGCCGACAGTGAGCCAGGGAGACCAAGCCAGGGCTGGACTTCACTTTGGTAGGTTGAAGCTGACACAGCGTACTTCACACACCAAAAATGAATTAAAAGGCCCCAAGCAGGTCAGTCCACATCTTTAAAGGGTTGCTAATGCCACAAGCTCCAATCCTGATTACGTACACACCTCCTAAACCTGATCTAATGGTCCGAACTCTTTGATCCAAATTTATTGTTGGACAAAAAGATGAGGTTGCTCCCTTCATACTAGGCAAGATAGATTTATCATAATAAATTACACCTTTTGTCTAATCATATTTCACTGCCCATGGGCCTTCACTGACTGCTGATTAGCAAGTAGACTCCTGTTCCAAAGCATTTTGTGTGAAGTACTTTGGCTTCACTTGTACCTCGGCTTTGGCTTGTTCCTTTATTGTTTAAAGACTACTAATGAGTGTTGTTGGCTCCTCTGAGTAGGTTATCTTTTTCCCCTGACTTTCTAGGTAGATTATGAAAATCATGCACTTTATAAACATGGGAAGACCGGCCGGAAGCAGTCTCCTGTGCGGATTTTCACCAACATCCCACCCCATAAAATAATCCTTCCCACCGATGAAGGGTATAGGTAAGGCTGCTGTGGGACGTGGAGGGATTTGAGTTGACGAGATGGAATAAACAGTGAGAATGCGTTCCCGTTGGGAAGGATGAGCTAGCGGCACTTGCCCAGCTGGGCTGGGACCCTCAATGGATGTGTGGGGCTTCACCCCTGAAAACACAGCATGATGCTATTCGAAAAGGAGGGGGAAAGGGTACATATCTCTGAAAGGAAAAGGCTTTTCCCGTGGTCTCATAGATACTTCAATTTGTTTTCCACTTGGTTCATAATCTTAGACCACTTGTTGAGACCAGTGCCTGATATGCGCTTGTCAATTTGGAATCTCAGGAAACGTGTTTAGCTGATGGCGGCTTCTCTCTTTCCTCTAGATTTTGCCCGCGGTGTCAGCGATACGTGGCTCCCGAGAACCGGCACTGCGAGCACTGTGATGCCTGCACGTCCAAGGTCCAGAGTTCTTAGCCAATACGTACCCACTCATTTTATTTTCATCTGTTAGCTTCGGCACCTTCGTGCAGTGTTATTTTGTTAGTGTTGCAGTTGACATGGAGACGTATGCTCTCGTGATCCTTTAATGCTCACTTTTAATGGTCACCGTGGAGGCCCGCAGGCTTTTTCAAATACTTAATTGCCATCAACAGCACCCACTTTCAATTCATTTTTTATAGTACTTTATGGCTGTTAAAACGATGAGTGCTTAGAATTGGGTGCTATGTGAGTGTTGCATCTTCATCTATGCATGCTGATACCATTTATACGTACTTGTAGGGATTCCAAAGCAGGCATTGAGCTGTAAATACCAGTTCTGTTCCAATGAGATAACACGGGACACTCCCGTGTTTCTGGAAAGTTCTACTAGCTCATGAACTAGATCCTTTAATCCTCCGAATAATCCTGCGAAGTGGGTGCAGTTATTGCTCCCTTCTTACAGAAAAGGTAGGGCTACAAGAGACCGAAAACCATGGCAACATAAAACACAGGTGCCGTAGCGTCCCAACACTTGGTGGTCCCGTGTGCAGAGTAGAACCGTAATCTTCCGGAAATCACTTTCTGGCTCTTCCGTTCGAGGTATCCCTGAGGGTTGGATCCTCCAACCTTCTGATTAGTAGCCAAGCAAGTAACCGCTGTGCTACCGAGAGACTGCAGACTAAGGACATAGCACTATTGGTGAGGAAGGTAGGATGGATGATCCTCAGGTGTTAACTAAATCTGGTTAGAAAGGGCGAGTGCATCTTTGCCTGTGCAGCACAAATCATCCCCCAAAGAAAAGACTACATTTATGTGAAAGCTAGCATTTTATTACTGGTTATACTTGGTTTTCATTATGTAGCACATCTGATGATGTTCTTCCAGTTTTAGAATTGATCTCTAGAGGTTGCTCCTACAATGATGCCTACATCATAGAAAGTTCAAAATGGAGAAAGTACAATTGTAGTATTTGAGGGCACTCACAGACCCTGAAAATGGGCCACATCCATGGATGGCCCGCATGGATGCTGCTTGCGGGGAAGGGGGCATGCTGCGGCTGGCCGGGAAGGGGACATGTGGGGACGTCCCTGGGGCTGGGGAGAGTGTTTCTTGGTCTGGGGCTGTATCAGTGCTGACTCTCTAAACAGCTCATCCCTGATGGACCTCATATTCAGGTTGGGACGAGCCACACCGAGCATGGTCTGGTTTTGCTTGGGCATCTTGTTAGTGATGGATGTGCACTGCATAACGTGTTTCAGGGCATCCTTCGCCGATGCTATCAGCAACAGATATTCATTGGTTCGGGTGATGGTTTTGTTTGCTGATTAAAACTCTTTATCGCATAGCAGATTACAGCACTAGCAATGGGAATGGGAACAGAGGGGATTCTTAAGCTATAACTGACTCATGACCAAGTCATCAGAACCCAGGAGCCCTGTTTTAGGATGGGGACTACTTGCACTTACTAAACTTTAGCACATACATGTTTTATGTACTTTTAAAGCTATATTGTAATTCACAGCTTAAAAATTATTCACACAATAACTGGTCTTAGATTAACATAAAGTTCTCAAATTTGAATTTCATTAAGGATTGTACAAGATGGAGATAGACTATTATGATGACTGATACTTAAGGAATTTTTATGAGGTCTTTCTTTGCGCCCAGTTTGCTTTTAATGGGCCCAGACCGAGGAGCTGCTTGCGCTCATTTCCCAGTCTTACGGTTACAGAAACTGAGGTGCGTGCAGACTCATGGGAGCTGCACGGAGAAAGGCCTACATTAAATCAAAGCATTTAACTGAAGCCCAGGAAAGGGAGGAATAAGGAATGAATAATTTACACCGATTTTTAATAAGACATTTTAATTTTTAATTGTGGGATCTGATTTTTGATGACAAACATAATTTAAAAATTGTTTTTGTAGGATGGCAGGAAGTGGAATCATTGCTTTCTCTGCAAAAAGTGTGTAAAGCCTTGTAAGTACTGAGACTTTTAAAACATTTTGGGTTTTCATCTAAACAGGACTGATGTTTCATTGTATTTATAAAAAGAGAAAATAATGTAGAGACTTTCGTTTACTTGCCCTTTAAGTTTAAATTACAAAAATGTGCATTTTGCCCTTCATGGGGAGAGGTGGCCCTGTATCTGGTTTCAGGGCAGTACTTGACTGATGTTAACACGGAGAGTAATGTATGAGAGCGAATGGGCAAAGTCCTGGAGTTAGAAAATCAAAAGGGAGAACACGCTCAGCATTTCTCAGGCTGAATAAACTGAAGAAAAATTCAAGCCTTGAGTTTGAAGAATCCTGTGGGCAAAACTGGATGCAGGAAGCATCACAAGAAAACGGAAGGACAACACAGAATCACAGCTACAAAGAGCTGATGGACACTCAGCCATTTCAGGAGAGACCAGACAATCAGGAACTGATGACATTGAAGGAAGGCATTCAGGCTGTACTGAAACCACGGGCAAAAAACAAGGCGTAGACTTGACAGAGTAATGACTGAAATGTTTCAAAACTAGAGGCACCAACTCATCTATGCCAGGAAATTTGAAAGAGAGCTACCTGGCCAACTGACCAGGAGATTAACATTTGCCCCATTCCAAATGATTCAATACAATGTGGAGATTAATGGGCAGTGTCATTAATATCACATCCAAGTAAGGTTTTGATGAAGATAATTGAAAATTGATTGCAGCAGTGCAACAACTTGGAACTGTCAAATTCAAACTAGATTCAGAATGAGAGATAAAATGCCAACACCAGATGGATCATGGCTAAAGGGAGAAAGTACCAGAAAGATGTGATTTCCTGACTGTGCAAAGGTATTCCCTTGTGTGGATCTTGATACATCATGGGTAACATTGCAAAGAAACTGGTATTCCAGAACACTTGGTAGTGCTTAAGTGGAACCTGTATACAGACAAAGAGGAGGTAGTTGGTGGAACAGAACAAGGAAGCCCGCAGGCTTATGATCAGGAAAGGTGTGCAGCCAGCATGTCTTTTCACCCAATCACTGGGATGCTGACAAATAGTCTGGGAAACTGGACCGCAGGAAGAAGAACATAGCCTCAGGATTGGAGGCAAACACGCTAACAACCTCCCGCACGCAGATGACATGCTGAAAGCGGAGAACTTAAGCACTTCCTGATGAGGTTCAGGGAGGGAAACCTTCAGAATGGGTTACACCTCCATAGACGAAGACAGAAGACCTGACAACGGCCAGTGGGCAGCATCAAGACAAGAGAGGAAAGGCGCATGCTGGGGAGGGCCTCGCCTGACTTTGGTCAACAATCAACGTCCAAGGAAGCGAGCGTCTGGAAATTCAGCAGTACGTATTTTTTGAGCACACCTGATGCAAAGATCTCTTTATTTATTTGTTTTACCCAAACCATTTTATTAGGCATTAATAGAGACCTCTTTAAAGGGCTCAAACGCAAAGATGTCACCTGGAAGACCAACGTGTCCCTGACTCACGCCATGGTATTTTCTTTGCGAATAATTTTCTTGGTATATGCTCCGCATTTCATAGAGTGTAATTGTTCCGTCCTAGTAAGAAGTGGGTGCAATCATCCCCACAGTCAATTTCAGAGCATTTTCCCTCATACTTGTCGTTAGCCCCTGCCAGGCTAAGTCCCTTATAGCTGAGTTACTGCTGCCGCCGAGCCGCCTCTCCTGGATCTCATAGTCTCAGAACACACCCAGGAAGCAAGCAAGCACACCCAACAACAAAACACAGAAAGACCTCAAGTGAAAAAGGAAAGCAGAAAAAACTAAGTACTGGAAGGACTTTAAAATGGGTCAGTAGGGAGATCAAATGATAAAGCGTTACATTTTAATTAGCTACACCTGCTAGCATTGACTTTGTAATGCTCTCTGTGTGATAGCAAGGCTATTCACAGCCCTCCACTGTGGTCAGAGGGGATTTTCAGTTGCCTCAGCTGTGAGTGGACAGTGAATGAGAAAGATTCAAGTAGAATCGATGCATCTGAGCGATGGTATTAGTGAAGAATATTGAAAATACCTACTTTGCTAGGACAAACAAACCCATCAGCCAGGATCCACCTTATAAGCAAAGGTGGTGACACTTGCCCTCACCTCTTTGGGACATGTTCTCAGGAGGGACCAGACCCTACCTGCAGAAAGACAGCCTGCTTGGTCACGTAGCAGGTCCATGGAAATGAGGAAGACCCTCGGCACACTGGGCTGGAACATCATCATTGAGAGCATGGTGCAGGAGTGGACCGTGTTTTGTGCAGAGGGGCTCTGTGAGTGAGACTTGACTTAACAGGAAACACGTCGCTCAGCCAGCCTCCGTGGTGTCAGGAGAGAAGGGATGAGTTTGTTGCCCCGAAACAGAAAGAAGCGAGCAGACTTGTGGAGGATTCTGACCTCTCTTCTTTACCTGGTTTCCTGAGCTGAGGCATAGCCCTGGTGGCACAGTGGTTATACTTTGGGTTCCCTACCACTGCCAAGTTAGCAGTTCAAAACCACCAGCCACCCCGAGTGAGAAAGATGATGCTTTCTACTCCTGTAAAGAGTTCCAGTCTCGGAAACCCACAGGGGCAGCTGCTCTCCGTCCTACAGGCTTGCTGTGAGTCAGAATCGACTCCATAGCAGTGAGTTTGGGTTTGGGTTAAGCAAGTGAAGCACAGCATTTGAAGTAAACACTGTTCGTGTGCTAAGTGATTACAGCAAGTGAACATCTCCTGAAACTCAGTCTCTCTCTTCCAGCCTGGGTGCACTGCAGCGTCTGCAACCACTGTGCCCTACCAGAGCACCCCTGTGAGGGCCCGACAGGCGGCTGCTTCGTTTGTGGGGAACTCGGTCACAAGCGCACCACTTGCCCTAACGTCTCCTCATCCAAGAGCTCTGCTAACAAGTGAGTTCTTTTTATTTTTTTAAATAGAAATGGTCTGCCTTGCATAACTCATACTGGGCAGCTGTAGACATTCGCAGTATGAGGATTCAGAGGTGCTCACGTGTAATGGGGTGGCATTCGCTATCGTTGGAAAGATGCCCACAGACTTTTAAAGTCACAGTTGCTACTTGTCATTGATTGAGAAGTCATGTATTATTTGCCTTGGTGACACTCTGCGTTAGGCAAGGTTGGCGGTTCAAATCTAGAGGGGAAAGATGAGCCTGTCCTCCGGTGAAAAAAATCACTTACAGTCTTGGAAATGTTTTATAGTATAGGCCCCCAAACTTTATTTGGCCTACCACCCCCTTTTCAGAAAAAGTCATGACTCACTGCCCCTGACAGTGGAAAGCTTTTGTCCTATACCCGGGGTAAAGTGTAGGTGAGGCTGTCGACTCCCACGAAAAATTAGTCTCGGAAACTCACGGGGGCAGTTCCACCGGATGCCATAGGGTGGCTGAGTTGGAATGGACCCCTTGGCAGTGGGTTTATCTGCTTTTGCAGCCCCTCCATCATTCCAGAGGTCTCCCATGGGCGGCATCTCCCACTTGGGGAAACCAGCGCCCTCTAGGGTGGTGGCTCTGAGTAAGAATCCATTGTATGCATCGAGGGGTGGGGATGGGGTTGGGGAGGGTGCGGTGAAGATGAGCCAAGTAGCTGCTGCCTTATACAGGATGAGGCATGGGAATAACCAAGGTACAAGGCCAAACATGATGAACGGTCTGTATTCTGTGTCCATTTGTAGCTTAGAAGAGGGGAGGTGACATTTTGTTGTGGGGTGGGGCTCCCTGCTTTTTGGAGGACTCCTTAAGCCGGGCTTCAAGGGGCAGGTCACATGGTGACTCATGGTACAGGAAAGGCAGGAAGGAGGGCTTTCAGACTGAATGTACGTCCTGTTCCTTGGCGAAGAAACTATAAGATCAAGTTATTTCTTTCTAGAGTCCTCCAGACTAAGAGGAAGTATTTAGGTGTACTTAGCATTCAGTATTGATTATAAATCAGAGAAATATTATACCAGTGACATATTTAGGAAAACTATTGTATGAGTATACTTATACACCCGCCCCTCCCAACTCAAAGGATGGTAGGGACCGAGTCCTCTTTTTTTGGTGGTGGTATGTTTCAATTCATTGCTGTTCTTACTCATTTTAAGAATTTTAACAGCTTTATTGACATATCATTCACACATCATACAATTTGGTGGTGTAAATGTCTTGAAGAGTTGTGTAAGCATCACCACCATCAATTCTTCGAACATGTTCTTCACTTTTGTATCCATTATTATAACTCCGTTTCCTCTCAACTTCCCCTCCCATAAGTTAAGAAATTAGTAAGCTAGTTTCTGTCTCTACAGATTAGCTTCTGCTGGCAATCGTCCTGTTTGGTAGAGTGGAGAGGCCGTGAACAAGAGGAAGGCTCTGAAGGAGATGGGCTGACACAGCGGCTGCGACAGTGGGCTCAGGCATAGGGACAACTGTGAGGATGCACAGGACTGGGTGGGCTGTTGCCTTCTGTTGCACATCGAGTCACTCTGAGTTGGAACTGGATCAATGGCACCTAACAACAGTCCTGGATTTTATACAAAGAAAATCTTGCAGCCCCATTCCCAATAACAAAGTAAAACAGAAACACCTCAATTGAAAAGAAAGAAAATAATAAAAACTAGGACAAATTAGAAGTGGCTCCAAAGGGAGAGCAAGATGTTAAATTTTAACCTAACTACATTTGCAGTAATCTACTTTCCAATGCCCTCTGTCTGATAGCAAGGTTGTTCACATTCTTGCTCAATGGTCAGAAGCTTAATCCACGAGGGATGCTACAAATGGATTTTGAGCTTTTGCCTCCATCCTTAGCCTTCCCCAAACTGGTGCACAGAATTTAAGCTGTGATACAGTTCAAGGTCCTTTGGTTCATTGTTAAAGAACCTGAGCCTCATGCTTAGTTTTGGATTACCAGCCATCCACAATTAATGGACACTAAGATAAAGGGAAAACCTTCTAAGCTGTTGTGTGAGTTGTGATGAAAAAAATGCCTGTATTATATGTATGTGACGCACCAGTTTGTTTTATGACTGTATTAGAATGCTTTCTCAATTTCTTTTTATTTTCTCATTGGAAAAAAAAATCATTTTTTCATTCCATTAAGATCTAACCACTTGAATTCTACCTCCTACTTAATCTGCCTCTTCCTTACTTCTTATCAAATTTACTGTATTTAAAAGAATTATTTCCATTAAGTAACCCACAGTGGAAATGGAACTTTGAGATAAACAACCAAAGAGGGTCTAGTGTCGTCTGACTATCTTAGAGAAAATTGACGGTGAGTTTCTCAGGCTAGCCGTGCATGGAGTCATTATGGCCAGTTTATGGCCAGGTAGTCAGGGCATGGCACACCAGGCAGGCCTCACAGCCTTTGTGTAGACCATACATTACGATGATAGTGGTCCTTCAGTGGTTAGTGTCCGCATCTGCAGGTCTCTGGCTTTGCCCTTCACTTACCTCGAAGGAGAGGTCTCAGGAGGAAGGCTTAACCACAGCTGGATCTCTGCAGAGGTCATGCAGAGTTAGGCTGTCAGCTTGGTGTGGGTGGACAGAACCTCAATTCCACCATTGCCTGTGGAGTGAGTAAGGAGAGATCTAGGGCTTGTGTGTGAATTTGTCACGTTGGCTCCACAGTGGCCAATGCTGTAAGTCTTTTCTCTAGGGCAGCAAGTCTCAGAGGGACACATCTCTTCTACGTTAGAAACTTAGGAAAGTGGTTTAGACCGACCTTAAGTTCCCCTGTGTCATAGTGTGCTAAGTCAATGTGAACTTAAAAGCTACATACTTCTGATGTGTCCGTTTCTGTGTCTTAAGTTCAGAAATTTTCTAAATTTCTCATTACTTACAGATTACTAATGTTCTGCAATCAAATTGCATTATTCATATGCATTTTGAAAGAATAATAGTATCTTAATCTTGACGCCTTATGGGATTTGAGACCAGTGTAGAAACATACAGAGCATAGAGTTTATTGAAGAAGCTTACAAAATATCTTCCTTTCTGTCATAGTTACTCGTGCTGCTCAGAAACACCACACGTGGATAGCTTGAATAGAAATATATTCTCTCACAGTTTGGGCAGCTGGAAGTCCAACTCAGGAGCGAGCTTTAGGGGAAGGCGTTTCTCCGTTCAGTATCTGTGGGCCCACTGTCCTTTACAGATGTCCATGTGTCTTGGCATCAGGCCTTCCCTGGGTCTAGGAGGTTCTCAGCACAGGAACCCAGGGTCCAAAGGAAGCACCCTGCTCCTGGCTCTCATGTCTTGGTGGTACTGAGATCTTTACTACTGTGCTTGCTTGTAACTCTCCTTTCATTCCTTATAGGATAAAAGATGGTGTAGGCCACATCCCAGGGAAACTCTGCTTGGGAGATGTGACCTAAATAAGGGTATTACTTTCTACCCTAATCCCCTTGCAACTAATTGGCTGCTCGTATCACCATGGGGTTGGTTATATCATTGCATAGCTGCTAAACCACCGGCAATCTTGACCCAGCCAAGTTGACACCTGTCTTGGGGGACACAATTTAATTCTTGAAACTTCTTACAGAAACCTTCCTGAGAAGAATGTCACCTGACAAACCCTTGGTTCAGGACTGTTCCACTGTTAGGGCGTTGTGCCCAGTGGAGACAGGAAGGTAACATGCTCATGATATGTGGACACTGAGCTTGCCTTGTGGTAGCGTAGGCATAGAGGAGGCCAGCCCATCACTGGGTCCACAAGGCTCCCCTGGTCTGGTAGTGAGATAGTGGGGCCTGGGAGAGCCAGCCCTGCACAGGCCGGCTTGCTTTTCCAGGTCTCAGAGTTTTCCACCTCGAGCAGGGTGTTGCCTCGCTACTGCCCTGTCACTGAGTGGAAAGCCTGCGGGATTTCCTTCCTTCTCTGAGAGATTTCTGCCTTTTGCCAGACCAGGCTTTCACAGCATTACTACCTGCTGTGGAAGTTCATCTCTGTCTTCCCTTGAAGATCGCATACAGTGTCTTTCCCAGAGCAAACCCCTTGGGGTGTGGTACTCCTGGTCATTCCTAAGTGGTATTCAACTGGCTTCTCTCAGAGAAGATTCCTAAACTGGCTGACAGTTGTCTTGGTAATGGTTTTCTTCCCCAAACTCCAGAAGCCTTGTAACAAAATTGACAAGGTAGAATTAGGACTTTTCCCCCTTAAAATAGTGAAAATTAATTTTAATAGTATTTTATGCATACGTGGCATAAAAGATATTTTTAAGCGTATACTTTTTTTTTACAGCTGTTTTATATTAATTTGTTTTTCCTTCATGCTAATTTTGCACTGGCCGTCAAGTGGAATGATGCGGGCTCCCTCTTGTGGCAAATGCTCCATCTACCGGTTATATAAATCTTTTTCATTTAGAGGGCAAATACTAGGTCGCTTTAATTTTAAGGCAAAAACAAAACACTTATTTGATTTTGACTCAATCAGTTCATCACAGCTTTATTAAGACTTTGTATTTGGAGAATTTTGTTTATTCATATTTCAAATGACTGTGGGTTTTTTTTTTTTAAACCCATCCACTTTATTTTAATGGCCTTTAACAAACAAAAATGTATCTCTCCCAGTTTAGGAGGTGAAAAGTCTAGATGCAGGGAAGCAGGGAACTATCTCTAGGGGAAGGCTGTCTTACGCGGAGCCTTGGCGGCATGCCCTCCATCACCGTTGGTCTTCTCTCTGCCATACTGAACGCTGTCTGGCCATGGCATTCACCTTTAGCTGTGTATCTGTGGACATGGCAAACAGAAATTGGCTTATATTTTTGGGGACAGGCATGCATAGCACCATTGGCTTTGCTATCAAGAGACTATGTCATTCGATTTCATTCGATGTGCTGGATCCTCCTGGATGAAGAAAGGATCTTGCATCTAACAACTGGCTGTGGGTAAAGAGTAGGTAAACAACATACTGACAGCTGTTTTTGTTTGGACTGTGGTGCCCAGTGTAAACAGGGACCATTGTAAACGGGTCCAGCAAGCCGATTGACACCGAGCGCATGGACACACTAGTTCTAGCTAATCCTTGTTGGGCGATTACTATACACCTCTCATTTCCCATACCGGAGTCATGCCTGGTATGGCATCCGAGTGACTGAGGGCCCAGCCTCTGGAGAAGTTGGGCGCTGCCCCTTCTGCTCTGGTGACTGTGGGCTCTGACAGCCCTGCTTTCCTTCCCTGTGTTGCAGGAAGGGGAGGAGGGAAGGGGTGGTGACAGCCTGCTCTGTCTTCTATCTCCTTGAAGTCTCTACTTTTTATTGTGAATTAAGTGCAGGGTTACTGAGCAGATTGACACACATTTGATCTCAACTCCTCCTTTGCAGAGCCCTCACTTCTCTCACTTCCTCTCCCACTTCCTCCTGTTTTTATAGGTCCAGCCCTTAGGCTGAGGGACACAAAGCCTCCATCTGCTTCTCAGGGGCCTGCCTGTGATTTGTGAAGCCTTTCCCAGGTGTGGGTCCTGGGAAGGCCCAGAATCTACTTTCCCCCCAGGCTTAGGTGGTTGCCAGAGGAGAAGCTAAGTCTTGATGTTGCTGACTCAGATTGGGGGGAGAAAATTCCAGGCCTGCCGGAGCTGCTTGTCCCAGCCACCCCTTGTTCATGACAGTATCAATGGCCTGGTTCTTCTAGCTCAGAGTAAGGGCATGGGTGAGCCGGCCATCTTTCCTAGCTCCAGGCTGCCTGTGATTTCCTCAGAGAACCCCTGAAGCCAAGTGTCTTATCTTCTGTGGCATGGGTTAGTATCTTTAGAGTGTGAGTCTTACCCTGTTCATGTTGAAGCAGCTCTCCAAGAAGACGGGGACCATGACACGTGGACATTCTGTGTGGCACTTGTCTGGAATCTGAGATCCTCCAAGGAAAGGGAAATGGGCTGCAAGGCTTATAAGATGGGTCTAGCGTTGCTTTTTAAGAGCTATGGTGGTGTAGAGGTTATGCGTTAGGCTGCTATCTGCAAGGTCATCAGTTTGAAACCACCAGCTACTCCTTGGGAAAAGGCAGGGCTTTCTACTCCTATAAAGTCTGTTATAATTTCAGAAGCTCACATGGGCTGTTCTGCCTTGACCTATAGGGTCTCTATGACTGGCATCGGCTCACTGGCAGTGGTGGGGGGTTGGGGAACAGCGCTGCTGTGCCCAATGTGTGCTTTTAGTTTTCTCCCTCTGCTTACAGCCAAATGCAATGGTCATTTCTTACAAAATGTAATTCAGGGATTTGGAGATGAAGTGCTGAGTGGAGCAGTATGGATGTAACCCCCCCTTTTACACCTCCTCGCGCCCCCCACCCACACACACACAAAGGAAAAAACCTAACTCATCGGTCTGACAATTTACCTCTGTGGTATGTTTGCCCTGACTGGATTGTTTTAAATCTGTAGTCACCATCTTTCAAAGACATTTCTTTTCACCAGCATTTTGCTTGCTCAGGCTTCTGACTCTCGCGGCAGGAGTTGGCGGGTGTCCACCACTTATCAGACAGTCAATTCCGTCTCTTCTTCCCTTTTCTTATTTGGTGAGCTGGTTAATTAAACTTCAACGTAATTACATCATTCACGGGGTCCCTGCTCCAAAATAATTTAGCGCCTTGTTTTTCAGAGTTGTCAGGAAGCAGAAGCAAAGGAGAAATAAGAAGATAAAATTGGCAGCGACCGAAGGACAGCCTGTGAATCAGGCCTCTGCTCCGCGAAGAAAGAAGAGGAGGCAGCAGGCCCATTAATATCTCTGCTCGTACAAGTCCAGTGACGGGAGAATAAGAACAAGTTACAGGCCAGCCTCTGAGGCCATTTTCTGGGAGTGCCACACACTGGGTGAAACCCATTCGCTGGCGGAGGTGGCACCTGGCTGAGCTGGATTTGAGCAAGTAGCCCTGGCTGAGTTCTCGACCCAGCATATGCCTCTGCCCCTGCTTCTGTATGTGCAGTCCCAGGGAGCCGGTCTGTCCACAGCTGGCTACGCAGCTCTCTCCGCATGCCCTCTCTCTCCTCTCATCGCACGGCCGGCCGCCTTGTGCAGAAGGGGTCAGAAGAAACCCAAAGAGAATACACCAGGCTTTGTTTACACTGAGCATCAAAGTCGGGCACGTTAGACTTGGAGATACTTGAGCTTACATATGGAAATGGTTGAAATGCCCCTAGAGAAGAAATGTGCAGTGTACAATTATCCTTCCCTTGCACCTGAAGATGAGGGAAAGAATTTTGACTAGTAACACTCACTGTGGCATTCTTTTGAATACTCATCCATACAGAACATTGGCAGTTGCCTTTTCCAGCTTGCAGAGTCACCCAGCGTCTGTTGAATGAATGAGATGTTTACAACTGTGACACTGAGAACTGCTGTGTCCTCTCGGTGGAGCCCTGATGGTGCTGTTGGGTAAGCCTGGAACTGTTTATCGTAAGGTTGCCAGTTCAAACCCACCAGCCGCTCCTTGGGAAAGAGGAGGCTTTCTGCTTCTGTAAAGACTGACAGCCTCGGAAACCCGCCATTGGCCACTGTGAGTTAATGTGCACAGCAAGTTTGTGTTAAAGCAGCAAGTTCATATAGAAGTGGTGTGGTAGTTACATAATCTAATGTCCTCCTCCCTGGGGGACGGACAACAGAAAAGTGGGTGGAGGGAGACGTTGGACAGTGTAAGATATGACAAAATAATAATTTATAAATTATCAAGGGTTCATGAGGGAGAGGGGAGCAGGGAGGAAGGGAGAAAAATGAGCTGATGCCAGGGGTTTACTTGGAAGGCAAATGTTTTGAGAACAATGAGGGTAAAGAATGTACAAATGTGCTTTATACAATTGAAGTATGTATGGATTGTGATAAGAGTTGTATGAGCCCCCAATAAAGTGATTTAAAAAAATCTCATGTCAACTTGAGGAGATTAAGAGTGAAGGGGTGGAGTGTAGCCTGTCAATCAGGTCACAGCCTGATGCCTCCTCGTGGGAACTTCCGCCCTGGAAGCAGGATGCACTCTCTCTGCCTTCCCTTTCCTGCTGTTAAGACACCCAGAGAGATGGAGGCGCCATGTGGAGACCTACACCAGCACTGACATGCTTTCATGGCCACTGAATCCACAAGACTTTCTACCCATCGGCCTGTCATCTTCCTGCATTAGACATCATTGCATGTGCTGTGTGAGTCTAGAGAGGAATTTATGGACTAATACTGGATATATGAGCTAATGTCGGAATTATGGACTTGATCTGGACTGGGCTGGGATGTTTTCTCAGTATACATTTGCTCTTTGATAAAAAGTTCTCTCTTACACACGAGTGTCCCTGGCTTTGTTACTCTAGTCAACCCAGTCTAACACAAGTGGTTAGTAGCAGAAGGCAGGCTGGTTTGGTGGCTAAAACCCTCACTCACCTCGTCACACTGGCTCCTGTGCTGTGCCCCTGCCCAGGCCCTACGCTCTCCCCCAGCCCCACCACCCGTGTTAGAATGGGGTGACGATAGCCTACCAGGTCTGCCTTCGTGATGATGTGAGCTGAGGCTCATGGGCCTGATGCCAGCTTCATGCTGTTACTGGTGAGCGATGCTCACATGAAGATGGTCACAGGAGTCCCCTTGCTGACCCTCCCATGGCCCACGGTCGCAACATTGGAGGGAGTCCTTTGGACATAGCCCTGATAGTTGAGGTTGAGGTGACATCCAAGTGTGAGCTGAGCTCTTAGCCTTTGGAAATGACAGGAAACCCTCCTTCTGTCCTTTTGTTGCATGCATTGCTATGAGGATAAGAGCTGTATGGAGCAGAAGCTGGCTGATGGAAGGGCCTGCTTGTTCAATGTGGCACCTGAAGCTGCCCTGGGGCATTGGGACATCAGAGGTAACCAGCTGCTTCACGCGTGACGTCAGTGATGTCACATAGCCATTTGGGGAAGCAGGCAGATGGGCTGGCGTAGTCCCTACCAAGACCCTGTTCTCCAGGCAATTCGGACATCTCTTGACCCTGTAGAGCAGAGCAGAGTGGAAACTTCTGAAGGATTTCCTAGGTTGTAAGTCTTTCCGCCAGCAAAAGACCTCAACTTTCTCTGATAGAGCAGCTGGTAGGTTCAAACCTCTGACCTTTTGGATAGCAGCCAGCCCAATGCTTAACTCACTGCATCAGTGCCATCTCCAGATAGTATCCACTGTCCAGGTTGATTCTGACTCATGCTCTTAGGTGCCATCAAGTCGGTTCCGACTCATAGTGACCTTATGCACAACAGAACAAAACACTTGCCCAGTCCTGCACCATCCTCACAATTGTTCCGTCTCATTGAGGGTCATCTTCTCTCTCACTGTGCCCCCACTTTAGCAAGCGTAATGTCCTCCAGGGACTAGTCTCTCCTGACAGTATGTCCAAAGCCTGTGAGAAGATGTCTTGCCTCTACAGAGCACTCTGGCCATACTTTTTCCAACACAGATTGGTTTGTCCTTTTAGCAGTTTCTGGAACTTTGAATATTCCCCAGCACCACAGTTCAAATGTATCTTTTCTTCTCCTGTCTCCCTTATTCAATGTCCACTTTTCACATGCATATCAGGCGATTGAAAGGTCAGGCCCAACTTAGTCGTCAAAGTAACATCCTTGCTTTTCAATACTCAAGTATCACTGGATTTGTGCAGCAGGTTTACCCAATGCAGTGTGCCTTTTGCTCTCAATTGCTGCTTCCATGAGCATTGGCTGGATCTAAGCAAGACCAAACCCTTGGTAACTTCAGTTTTTTTCTCTATCCTGATGTTACATATTGGTCCACTTGTGAGGATTTTGTTGTCTACACTGAGTTATAGTCCAGACTGAAGGCTACAATCCTTGATCTTCATCAGCAAGCACCTCAAGTCGTCCTCGCTTTCAGCAAGCAGGGTTGTGTCATCTGCATATCAAAGGTTGTTAATAAGCCTGCCTCCAATCCTGATGCTGCATTCTTCTTATAATCCAGCTTCTCTGGTGATTTGCTCAGCATACAGATTGAACAAGTGTGACAAGAGCATACAACCCTGCCTTACACGTTTCCTGATTTTAAACATGCAGTATTGTTCTGTTCACACAACTGCCTCTTGATCCATGCACAAGTTCTGTATGAGCACAATGAAGTGTTCTGGAAGGCCCTTTCTTCTCAAAGCTAGCCACAGTTTGTTAGGGTTCACACACAGCAACCCTATATAGGGTTTCTGGGGCTGGAAATCTTTACAGAAACAGACCGCCTCAACTTTCTCCCAAGGAGGAGCTGGTGGTTTTGAACTGCTGATTTTGTGGTTAGCAGCCCAATGTTTCCCGGACAGCACAACCAGGGCTCCTTCTCCAAGTAGGAGGGGCTTCTAAATACCAGGTGAGTCAAAAGCCTCAAAACTTTACTGTGTGCATGTGTGGGGTGTGTGTGTAATCAATGCTATGAAACAAAATATATGGATTGTTGAATGGAAAATTATTCTGCTCTAAACCTTCACCCAATTCAGAATAAAACATTTGGAAAAGAAATAAAGAAGAAACCCTTAACTGTGCAACATGGGAGGGAAGCTACAGCACTGAGCACTGCCCAGGTTAGGCGCACTTTCACAAAACAGAACTCCAACCCCACTGACTAAATGTTTTTTGAATGGGACCATTAGGGCAGGCGTGAAGTTACTTCAAGGTCAAGTGAGAAGGTCATTGCCATAGAGATGCTGTGATCATTCATGTTTGATTTCTGTTTGATTTCAGGTAAGTGTTCGTTTCTGTTTGATTTCAGGTAAGTGTTTGTTTCTGTTTGATTTCAGGTAAGTGTTTACACGGAACCAGATTGAGTAGCATTGTGGCAAAAGTGAGCAAGCTGATGTTTGGGCTCTGAGCCCACTGGCTGGGTTGTAATGTAATGTAATGTAAGAGGGTCACTCTTCAGCTGTTGAATAGCTGTGCAGATGAGACTTGGTTATCTTTTGAAACTGCCAGGTTGGGTGGGGGCCTGTTTCTTTTTCTGCAGCTGTGGGCGTGCCCTCTAGGGAAGGCAGCCAAACATGCCACGTGCTCAAGGGCACATGGAAACGGAGGAGCTATTAATATGTGATCCCAGCAAATCTTAGGTACACAGACCCCTTAAGAGTGTTATGGATTGAAGATGCCTCTTAGAGCATAAGGTGCTCCTGACCCCAGCCAGGGTATTTTCAACCACTCCATGCATGTGAAAGGTGGACAGTGACAACAGAAGAATCTATGAGTTTGAATGGCGGTGCTGGGGAAGCATAGGAACCATGGCACGGACTGCCGGAGGAAGTAACAAACCAGCTGTAGAAGTACAGCCAGAACGCTCCTGAGAAGGATGGGGAGATGTTGTCTCTTGTCCTTTGGGCGTGTTATTAGGAGGGGCCAGCCTGGAGAAGGACATCTTGCCTGTTACAGGGTCAGTGAAAATCAGGAAGGCCTTCAAAGAGATGGAGTAACACAGGCTGCAGCGATGGGCTCAAACAGCCATGGCTGTGAGGATGGCGAACTGGACAGGGTTTGGCGCTGTGTGCACAGGGTCGCTATGACTCAGAATCAGCATGATGGCACTGAACCCCCACCCCCAGACAACTGTGATGAATATGCTTATCACCAAATCTTCTACTTCTTCCAGATCAGTCTGTATTCATCGACATCCGCATTCCACGTTTATCAGAGCTGCTCCTTCTCATTGGCATCCTGTGAGTTGTCTCTGTATGGCTTTCCCAGGACAGCAACCGAAGTGAGAGACAGATAAAATCCCCAGGCAGCCAGAGACCCATTCTGTTAAGACAGGGAAGCTCCCAGATGCTTTTTATAATCCCACTGTCATCGTCCGGGGACCTTTGAGTCGACTGAACTTGACACACATCAGCCCCAGCTGGCAGAGTGGAATGTCCCCACAGAGTTGAAGGCTGCCATCCTTGTGGGATCAGAAAGAACTGGCAACCTTTCAGCAGCTGAGCACTTAACTATTATTCCACCCACCCACCGTCATCGAGTTGGTTCCAACTCACAGTGAGCCTGTGTAGACCTTTCCAGGCTGCATCTTTACGGGCTCAGACGTCATCTTTTTTCCCCAGAACAGCTAGTAGGTTTGAAAAGCTGACCTTGGCATTAGCCATTCAGCCTTTACTCCACAGCACCACCCACTCAAAAACAACAAAACCTTACTGCCATCCAGTCTATTCAACTCATAGTGACCCTAACAGGATAGAGTTGCCCCTGGGAGTTTCCAAGCCCCGCCTTTTTCCCACTGCAAGATGTGAACCACAGACCTTGCAGTTGGCAGTCCAATGCGTAACTACCAGGCCACAGGGGCTCCTCAGTGCTAGGCCTCTTGAATAATTGTAATCAATGGTTGCAAGTATGGACGTCAAATAAATCATTGAGTTGAAATCAACATACAAACGCAAAACCACCATGTCTCTTGAGTTTGTTGTGAACTACCATGGGTTAGAAATCGAGCCTTATCTGCCAGGATGGAGGAGGAATTACCTGGGACATTTTAGTGATAAGTCCTGAATCCCGGGGGACCCCACGTGTGTCCAAGTAGAAGGGAGACACAAGATTTTCAATGACTGACCTTTTGGAAGTACATCTCGCCAGGCCTTTCTTCCTTACACCTTTTGGCTAGTCATCACGTGTTCAAGCCACCTCCAATGGGGGCTCATCAATTATTCATCCGCTCATTGGTCTGGGATGCTGCCTGGGCAAGGGGAATTTTTACCTGTACAGTTTCAAACACAGTTGTGAGGTTGTACGTGGCGTCCCCATCATTCTGACTGACCAGAGAGCGCCTAACCAGACTTTCTACCTTGCCACCTGGACAGAGAACCACTCGCTTATAGATTTTCAAGGAAGGCTCCAGCTAGCCAAGCCCTAATTGACATCCCTTTTCCTCTCCCCTTTTTCTCGGAGGCTTCAGCCCTAATCTCTGTCACTTGGTCCAAACGTTCGAGAAATAAGGAAGACCTGCAGGACGCGCGCGCGCGGACTCGCGCATAAGACACTTCAGCCAAAGGCGACGGGTGCGTCTCTGCGCGCGCGGCACCTCCCGCCAAAGCCGCGCCGGTTGCTCGCGCTCCGGGCCGTCCACCCCGCCCCCGCCGGCCACGCCCACTGCTCGCTCCCGCGCCTGCCGCCCAGGCAACGCCCGCTACTCGCGCCCGTGCCTCCAGGCCACGCCCACAGATCGCGCCCGCGCCTCCTGCGTAGGCCACGCCCGCTTCTCGAGCCCGCGCTTCTCGAGCCCCCGCTCAGGCCCAGCCCGCCTCTCTCGCGAGGCAACCGCGGAGCCGGAAGTGCCGGGAGCGCGCGGCCGCCTTGGCGGGTGGCCCCGGGGCGCCCGCGCGCGGCCGGCTGAGGGCGGCGTGGGGTCGCCGCAGGGAAGCTCGCAGGTCCCGCTCCAGGCGCAGCTCCGTGTGGAGGGTCCGGCCCGAGGTGGCGCCTGCACCCGCTCGGGCCGACGTCTGGGGGCTCCCGGGGCCCACTGCCCACCTCCACTGGGGTGTCGTCGCAGGGCCGCCTCCATGTTGCGATTTCCGACCTGTTTCCCATCCTTCCGGGTGGTGGGAGAGAAGCAGCTGCCGCAGGAGATCATTTTCCTGGTCTGGTCGCCCAAGCGGGATCTCATTGCGCTGGCCAACACCGCGGGCGAGGTAAGTGAGCAGGCCCCCACCCGCGCGGGGCCCAGACCAGCCCGCTCGGACCTCAGTTTCCCCGTCCGTGGACGCGGCGGAGCCCTCCTGCCCAGGGCAGCGAGCGGTAAACTTCCAGTTCAACGTGGCATCAACCAAGGAGTCTCCCGAGGTCCGGACGACTCTTTGCTGACTTCCAGCGCAAAAGTTACTGGCATAACCCACCCAGAGGCGCCTTGGAAGAAAGGCCTGGCACTCCGCTTGCGAACACCCTGGGAACCCCCGTGGAGCCGATCTTTGGGCCCGGGCGCACACTGAGTCGCAGTCGACTGGATGGCACCCAGCAACAACACGAAAGGCCATGCCTCCTAAGACCCCTGTCATGAAGTCAGTTCTGACTCAGAGCAAGAGCCTTAGAACTGTAGATCTTGTTGGGAGCGGACTGCCTCATCTGTCTCCCTTGTTGGGTTTGAACAGTTCCCTTGCAGTTAGCAGCCCGCGTCAACCCGTTGTGCCACCAAAGATCTTTCCAGATATATTCATAGTGATTGACATTTGTATGCCCCTTTTGGGCATTTTCTAGCAGAAACAGTTTTCACACACCTTAGCACAGTCCTGCTGTTCTACGTCCTCAAGTTCCCTTCACTTGCTGCTTACCATGCCTCTGAGAGGGCTTCTAAAGCCCCACCGAATGTCATGAGCCAAAGGCCAGCCACTGAGCCTGCCTGAATACGCTCACAGGTGACTTGCAGAAGAACCAGAGTTTCCATTTTCGCTGGAAATGACCGTCTAGTTGTCAGTGGCTAAGGTGTAAGAGCTTACCTTTCATAGTCTATGTTTTAAACTAGGAGTTAACTGGCCACCACCTCTTCTCCCGATTGTTGCTGGGTATTGTCAAGGCAGTTCCCACTGAGCATCCCTGTGTCCAAAAGACCTCTGCAGCACCCGGTCTTAGGCCATCCTCACGTTAGACCCATGTGGCATCCACTGGGCCACTCCATCTCCTTGAGGGTCTCGCTTTGCTGGCCTTCTATTTTAGCAAGTGTGATGTCCTCCCGAGGCTGGTCTCTCCAGACAACATGTCCAAATTACCTGAGATGAAGGCTCCCTTCCCTTGCCACTAAGGAGCATTCTGGCTGTATTTCTTCCAAGACAGATCAGTTTATTCTTTTGGCAGTACTTCTGATATCCTTCCACAGCACCATAATTTGTATACATCCATTCTTCTTCTGTCATCCTTATCCGCTGCCCAACGGTCACATGCATGGGAGGCGATTGAAAACACTCTGGCTTGGGTCAGGTGTAGCTTAGCCCTCAAAGTGACACCCCGGCCCTTTTGTCCAATACAATGCACCTTTTGATTTCTCTCTCTCTTTTTTAGCACCTATTTTTAATTTTTGAATAAAGCATTTTATTGGGGGCTCTTACAGCTCTTATAACAATCCATACATAAATCATATCACGCATATTTGTATATATGTTGCCATCATTTTCAAAACATTTTCTTTCTACTTGAGCCCTTGGTATCAGCTCCTTGCATCTTAATCTCTTAACTGCTGCTTTTATGACCATGGATTGTGAATTCAAGCAAGAAAACTTCCATCTTTTCTCCATTTATCATGATATTATTTATTGGTCCAGTTGTGAGGATTTTGGTTTTATTTCAAACTCAGTACTGAGTTGTAATCCATACTGAAGGCTGCAATACTTGATCTCTATCAAGTGTTTCAAGCCATTTTCAGCAAGCAAGGTTGTATCATCTGTCTATCATGATGCTAATGCCAATCGTGATGCTACATTCTTATTCATATAAGCCAGCTTCTCCGGTGATTTGCTCAGCATACAGACTGAATAAGTACGGTGAGAAGCTACTGCTCCGTCGTACACTTTGCCTGATTTTAAACCATGTAGTAGTCTCTTGTGTCCACACAACTGCCTCTTGATCCATGTAGTAGTTCCGCATGACCACAATGAAGTGTTCTGGAATTCTCATTCTTCTAAAGGCTATCCATAGTTTCTGATGATCCACGCAGCCAAATGCCCTTGTGTAGTCAAGGAAATACAAGAGACTGCCTTTCTGGGATTCTCTGCTGTGAGCTGATGAGTCACTTCGGGAAGGACGAGTGACCCAGCACTGCACAGCTCTCAGGAGTGGCCCAGTGACCTAGGAGTCTGCTCAAACCTGAAACTAAACCCACTGCCACCCAGGCCATTCCGACTCACCGGCACGGCACCTTCGTGTGTTCTCCAAGATGAAATCTGCATGAGAGCAGACAGCCTCACCTTTCTTCTGAGGAGGGGCGGGCAGGGCTTGGTTTCTGAACTACAGATGCTTAGCCCACAGTGCCGCCAGAATTCTAGGACGGGGGGAATTCTGTAGACAACTGCACTTCAGAAGGATGTGGGTGGTACCGTCTGATTGCATGCGGTTCTGTGTTAGGGAATTTGTGAAGAGAAGACAACAGTCCAGAAATAGCAGTGAGCAGCTAGGAAAACACCTCCACCTCTTGGCCTGGTGGTATGGGACATGCGGGGTGCTGGGGGGCCTTGGGGTGCACAGAGGCCACCATAGAAGATGCTGCAGGGGAAGGATGAGCCGGTTGAGGTTGTTTTAGAATGGGTTGCTGAGAGAAATCCAGTGGCCCTCTTATATGTATAAGAAAGAGCTTTATATCAAGAAAATAGCAAGGAGGCAGCCCAGCCCAGTCCAAAGCAAGCCCATAAGTGTGATGTAAGCTAGAATCCTTTTGGTAGCGGCAGGCTGATGATGCAGAAAACTGGAATGGGATGCAGGAAGATCCGAGGCCTGTGGGTGCAGAGTCCCAGGGATCCAAAGTTGGTGGAAACATGGCAGGGTGCTGGTGGCTCTCAGGGTCAGGCAGCCCACATGGGACCACCCCTGGAGGCAGGCTAAGTCCCAGCAAGCAGGAAGGCAAAAGGGAAGAGAGAAAGAGAGAGATCCTGGTATCTCTTATACAGAAAGGCTTAAGTTACCAATTGGTAGGTTGAGCTCTGCCCATACCCTTACCCAGAAGTGCCTTGTTGACATAATCCCTAACCACAGGTGAAGGATGAGAGCTGTCTTCAGGATGTCCGCCCGTGAATCCCAGAGAGTGCAGAGGAGGGGCCGCTGAAACAATGATGGGCCAGAGGGGGGTGCCGTTGAGGGTGTGGGCAAGTCCTGGGGACCCCCAAGTTCCCATGCAGGGCAAGCTGAGGAGGCTGAGATGTGGGGAGGAGAGGTGGTGTATGCAGCAGCTTTGGGGTTCTGTGGTGCTTTCTAATGGGTTCAATGGGTGACGAGTCAGGAGGGTCTCACCTGGAGCTCAGGGAGCACTGTGGAATCATCTCGCCCTCTTGGGGTGTGGAAATGGAAAGTTAGGGGGCTGAATGACTTACGTCGGGGAGCCCTGGTGGGGTGGCAGAGTGTGTTACCAGATGTGCTGCTCGCCTCTTGGGGAGCCGTTTGACTCCATCAGCCGCTGCAAGGAGGTGCTTTCCTCCCGTGGAGCTGTCCAGCCCCTGAAACCTCGGGAGCAGTTCTGCTCTGCCCTGCCGCGGTGTTCTGAGTCCAAATGGTCTCCACGGCAGTTGGGTTGGTTTTTGAAGTCACTGGTACCGGTGGGTAATGTGCTGAGTTGGCAATGGAAACGTTGGAGTTTCAAATCTCCCTCCAACAAATCCACACGCCTTCATGAGTTGACTGACTCAGTGGCCCTGGTCCTGTTAAGTGACTGGTCTAAGATCCAGGCTGGCAAGCGACCCAGCTGAAGGCTGATCCCCAGTTGTCTGGGGGCGAGCCTAGTGTTCATCGTTCGCATGGCTAGGTGCCCCCCAGGCACTTCCTGCTCCTGCAACCCGGACCTCCTGTGACGGGAGACGCATCATAAAGATGTGACATCGGGCAGCCATCTGCCGAGTCCTGCCAGCGTTCTTTCTGCTCCATCTCCTGGGACAGTCTTTGCCTTCTTTTCTAAATGCAAGCCTGCTGTTCATTTTTTAGGTGGGACATGGTACAGAGCAGGGTTGGATTCAAATGTTGTTTCAAATACCTGATGGTGTTCACTCACCTTACTGGTAACAAGGCCCTTTTGCTTTTTGCCCCTAATTTTTGACCTTTGCCGTGTTATCTGTTCTCTCCTAGGTTTTGCTTCATCGACTGGCCAGTTTCCACCGGGTCTGGAGTTTCCCACCTAATGAAAACACAGGAAAGGAGGTGACCTGTCTGGCATGGAGACCAGATGGCAAACGTAATGATTGCCTTATAAAGAATGCCTTCTTGCTATTATTACCCAAGAGCCGTCTGTAGAGAACCCACACTTATTTTCAGAAAGAATTCACTGTGCATCTCATAGCCTAGAGTGTTAAAGACCACTTGGGGGGCTTTGTTTTAGCAGGTTTCTCCCTAGAACCTAGATTGATCTTACAGAGCGCTGGTGGCATAGTGGGTCATGTGTCGGGCTGCTAACCGCTAGGTCAGCAGTTCCAAACCGCCAGCTGCTACTTGGGAGAAAGACGAGACTTTCTTCTCCCATAAAGATTTCCTGTTTCAGAACCCACAGAGACAGATTCCACTCTGTCCCATAGGGTCCACACGAGTTGGAATTGACTCGATGGCAGTGAGTTAGATGAATCTTGTCTCTTGGCAAAGAGAACTTTGATATGAAGTCGATACGATACAGAAGACTCTTTGCTTTTCTTCCATCTGCTCTCTTGTCTTGAGCCATTTGCCCCACCCCATCTGTAATTCTCCAGTCAGTTCAGCATGCTGTGGCCTTCCAACCCCCGACCCCACCCTCCCGGCTTTTGCACTAAACCGTTAAGCTCACCTGATGGCCCGGGCTGTCGGCTGCAAGGCAGCAGTTCATACCTACCAGCTGCTCCACTGTCTGCTCCCATACAGACTTGTGGCCTCAGAAGCCCTAATGGAGCAGTTCTGCTCTGTCCTGTGGAGCGGCTCTGAGTCAGAGTTAAAGGACTCCGGAGCCGTGAGTTAAAGGGCTATCTGATCCGACCCCATTCCTTCCAGCTCTCTGATCCCTCGCCTCCTGCTCCCTCCTTGTTGCAGCTAGTTAGCACTCTGGTGATGGGCCCGCTTGCTCTCCACCTGGTGTGTGAGGTTCACAATGAAGCCCGTCTATGATCTGCTGTTCACGCGCAGTGATGTGTAAACCATGCAATTGAAAATCCCTCTGTAACCAGGCTGCCAGAAAAACAGCCCGATTGCTCAGGGTTTCTTGTGGGAGAATGTACGCATTGCTTAACACTCATCACTGCCTCATGCCGCCGTGCCCGTGCCAGTTCAGCAACCCTGTAGGACAGGGCAGAACTGCCCCTGTGGGCTTCTGAGCCAGTGACTCTGTCAGAGAAGAAAGTTCCTTCTTTCTCCCTCACAGCGAATAGTGGTTTCAAACTGCCAACCTTGCTATAATCTTAAAAATAGGTATATTGAAGGTAGCATGGGCTCGCAGTAATTGAAATTGCCTGCCAAAAGGACAGACTGATCTGTCTTGGAGGAAGTATAACTAGAAAGCTCCTCCGAGGCAAGGATACTGAGACCTGGACTCACGTGTTGTCAGGAGAGACCAGTCCCTGGAGAAGGCCATCCTGCCTGGTAGAGTGGAGGAGGAAGGCCCTCAGGTAGATGGATTGACACGGTGGCTGCAGCACTGGGCCCAGGATGGCACAGGACCGTGCAGTGTGTCACTCTGCTGTGTGTGGGTAGATGGGGACACACTGGGTGGAAACGGACTCAGTGGGACCCAGCAACAATAGTCCTGAAGAGTGAGGCGAGGCACTGCCCTCTTTGGTGGTTCAAATGCTACTGGATGGATTTTCAGGTCAGATATGGCCCTACGTTTCAGACGTATATAAATGAGGGAATAATGAATGAAATGCCCATCTTGTTCTCTGAAGCATCAGTACTCACACACTGCGACGGTGTGATCTTCTCTTGCTGTAGTTTTGGCCTTTGCTCTTGCTGACACCAAGAAGATCATTTTGTGTGATGTGGAGAAGCCAGAGAGCCTGCACTCTTTTTCCGTGGAGGCGCCGGTTTCTTGTATGCATTGGATGGAAGTCACTGCAGAGAGCAGGTAGGGTCAGAGCACTCCCGCCATCGCCAGAGGTTGCTCATGACAGGTGATTCCTTTGTCAGTGCTAATGTGCACACTGTGTGATGCGCACAGCTGTGTGCGGAATGGATCGGCACCTAAAATTGAGGTTTACATGTTACGGGTATCCAGGTGAAAACATTTAGACTTTTCCTTTTTTAGAATTTTTTTTATTTCCTCTTTTCCGGTGGAGGAAAAATTACTATTATTTTTTTCTTACTGGATCAATAATATCCTGGTAGCCCTTTTTAAAAAAAATCGTTGTGAGCATTTGATTTTCAATAACTAAGGCTTTCCACTCAGCTACCATTCATGAACGTTGCTGATGAGCTGGTAGACGGTCTGGTTTTCTTCTCACCGTGGGATTGGTGTGGGCTGTGGGGTTTGCATCTCAGCAAATTTTGTTGGAGGATCAAAAGTGCCTGGTGGTGGGGTGGTTTTGCCTTAGCTGCTAACCACAAGGTCAGCAGTTTGAACCACCAGTCGTGCTGAGGGGAGAAAAAGGAGAAGCAAGGCTTTCTACTCCTGTAAAGAGTTACATTCTTGGAAACCCACAGGGACAGTTCTACTCTGCCCTTTAGGGTGGCTGTGAGTGAGTTTGGGGTGGGGTTTGCGGTCAGGACATTTGGAGTATCCAAAGTGCTGGCTGGCTGGTTGGGTGCTTTCCGTGTTCAGAGTGCCTAGTGGGTGGTCTCTCCATTTCACGGAAGCGACTGTGCCTGCTGGTCTGTGGCCAGCAGCCACTGGAGGTGCCGTGGAGAAGGCCTGGAGGACCACGTGGCTTCAGCTCACACCTGAAAACATTTTCGTTGCTTTGGGGGAGGGGTTTGAAAAATGTGATCATCCTCCTCCTCACCCCCACCCACCCCTGCTTCCTTTCTAATTAAAATTCACTTAGCTAATAGCAAATGAATTGTGGAGCCTCACTATTCATTGGCAGCTTCCCAAGGGGGCTTCCAGAAAGAGATGGCAAGGGTCTAGCCAGGTGTAACATTAGCTGTGGATAACCTGCCATCTGGTGATCAAGGTGCAGCTAGCCACGTGACGAGGGTTGGAGAAGCAGGTGCCGCCACCCCACCCCCATCCAGTTACCTGCTAACTGTTCCCATCGCATGTCTGCTCACAGGCTGTAGGGACGATGGGGGTTCCAGGGGCTTCAGGAGGGGGGTGGGGAACCTCTGTTGAAGTGGGAAGCAATGCTTGTCAAATCTCCACATTTTCATTGCCCTACTCGTTTATTCCCAACTTTTTTGGAGGTAGGGAATTTAGAGAAGAAAGAAAAAGATAACCGGCTTTTCTCAGAATGTGTGTAAAGGTCTCATCCAATCCCTGCTGCTGTTTGTTTCATTCCGACTCAGCGAGCATCTCTACAGCACAGAGTAGAGTTGCCCCATCGGGATCCAGGCTGGGCTCTGATGGGAGCCGATCGCCAGGCCTTTCCTCCTGCAGAACCACCGCCTTTCATCTTGGGAGCAAATGCTTAAGCACGGTGGATTCGGCTTACACGTCGAGTCCATAATTAAATGATGGAATGGTGGCAGTGGTCTTTGGAATTACTCTTGATTCTCATATTTAGTGGGGCTTTGTGGATGAGATTTAAATCATAAGTCCTCAGTAGCTAAAGACTTAATCGTGTGCCACTAAAAGGACCCCTGGTAGCACAGTGTGTTGAGTATTGACTGCTAGCCAGGTCAGCAGTTCGAGCCCACTGCCCTTCCATGGGACAAAGATGACGCATTCTACTGCCATAAAGATGTATAGCAGTGGTTCTCAACCTTCCTAATGCTGCGACCCTTTAATACAGTTCATGTTGTGGTGACCCCCCAACCATAAAGTTATTTTCGCTGTTACTTCAGAACTGTAATTTTGCTACTGTTATGAATCTGGTGACCCCTGTGAAAGGGCCGTTCAGCCCCCAAAGGGGTTGGGACCCACAGGCTGAGAACCGCTGATGTATAGTCTCAGAACCCCTACGTCCTATAAGGTTGCAGGGAGTTGAAATGGACAGGTTGGCAGTCATTTGGAATACTGCCTTTCTATGACCCTGAGAAAATTGTCTGTCAATCCTTCTTCTCTGAGTGTAAAGTGTAGACTGATACCATTTGCAAAACGAAGCCCCTTTTAAGTAAAGAGGTTTCTCCTTTTCTCTTTCCTGCTTGGGGTTGTGGACTTGGCCCTGGTACAAAACTGGCATCTTTCTGGAAGTTAACGTTCTTTTCGTGGGAAGAGAAGTCAGGTCTGTTCCTCTTGCTCCCCTTGGCATCACAGAGTCTGCTCCATGGTTCTTTGCTATGGCTACCACCTGGCCAGGCATTTACCCAAACCACCCAAACCCCCTGCCTTCGAGTCCACGACCCCACAGGGCATAACAGTCCTGCGGGCTTCCAAGGTTGTAAATCTTTACAGGAAAAGTAATCTTTACAACACAGCTTCCTCTTTCTCCCATGGAGCAGCTGGTGGGCTTGAACTGATAACCTTGTGATGAGCAGCCCAACCCACTCTACCTCCAAAAAACCCTAACCAAACTCTACCATCGGGTCAAAGCCAACTCATAGTGACCCTAAAGGATAGGTCAGAGCTGTCCTGTGAGTTTCTGAGACAGTCATTCTTTATGGGAGTAGAGAGCCCCATCTCTCAGAGTGGCTGATGGTTTCGAAGTGCTGACCTTTGGGAGCACAGCCCAATGCGTAACCACTACAACATCAGGATGTTAAAAAAAATATTTCAGTGTCTTATTTTTAATACTGGCATTTCTAGAAATTATTTCAGACAACTCCAATCTCTAGCAAAAGACTTAAAAGACTTCTGAGGCAACGAAAGCCATTTCCCACAGCCCTCACTAATCTGGCCATTCTGAGTCAGGGTCCAAGACAGGCTTGCGTTTTCCTTTTCTGCCCTCAGAAGATAAGGCTGTGCTGTCTGCACCGCTTCTCTGTTTCCTTCCTTCCCAGTGTGCTGACGTCCTTCTATAATGCCGAGGACGAGTCCAACCTTCTCCTGCCCAGGCTGCCCACACTGCCGAAAAAGTGAGTGCCCTGTCGGATTTCTCCACAATGAAAGGTTGCAGATCCATCCCACCCCACCCCCAGCCCTACCCCACACCCCTTCTACTCTTAGCACGTCTGAGATAATTCATAAGGTTTTAGAAAGAAATTATTCTTCAGACTGTGTCTTAACCCTCATCTCTGATTTCTTTAGTTACAGCAACACCTCAAAAATATTTAGGTAAGACATAACTTTTTTTCCCCTTCCCCTTTTTAATAAGCTAATCTTTTGTGGTTTGCTACAGAGTTGAAGAATAACCTTATTGTTTCTTAAATTTTAGTGAAGAAAACTCGGATGAAATTATTAAGCTCCTGGGAGATGTCAGGTAGATCTTGCCTTGATGTTCAGTAGCATGGTTGATTCCTCGCAGTCGACATTAACCTTGGTGGCCGTTTCTCAAGTTCTTTGTCCGCCGTGCGATTTCCCTGCTGACGTGATCAGCGCCAGACAACAGACGGGCATGTCTGTCTGCATGTGCTCGTTTCCTCACTGTGTGGTCTTCCTTTGTTTCCTCTTTACTGTGCGGGCTTCCAGCTTCACTATCACATTGCAAAGCCAGGGAGGACAGACGCAGGGCAGCTACGCGCTTTAAGCTCATCATGTGTCTGGGGCCAGAACCAGGCTAAAACTGATGGTGCACTTGGAGTGAACTGGGAATGGGGTTGTTGGTGTCAGCAACTGTATAATAAGACCCTGCTGTTCAAATTACACATTCTTCACGTGCTGGAAACGGCTGTCTTAAAGAGCCTGCCCATGGGGACTGCCCAGGGAGTGTGGTCAGAACCCCAGCCCCTGGAGTTGTTCCCGCTGCTCCCCCTGCAGGACAGCGTTTGCATGTGCAGTAGAGGAGAGCAGCCCTTCCCATGGTCTCGAGGAGTCGTGTCCTCAGCTTGTTGCCTTGTTTCCCGGCAGGCTTAACATCCTTGTCCTTGGAGGGAGCTCTGGCTTTATTGAGCTTTATGCCTATGGAATGTTCAAAATTGCACGCGTCACCGGGGTAAGTTCTTCCTTGAAAACATGCTTTCTCATGTACCAGAGCCTAACAGCCAGTTGTCAGATAGAAAAAGGATAAACCCATTGAGCTGTTTGCATGATGAGTTGCTCAGTGGTGAGGGCACTGTTTTCTTAGGAGAGTCAAACGGTCGTGCTGTGTGTCTGTTGAGCGTAGGGCTGCTAGTGGGTTTCTGCTGTACGCAGGCTCACTATGAGTTGGAACCGACATGGGGCACCTAAGAACAGTGGTGTATTTCAGTTAAGCTTTTGTTTTGTTTTTGAACAAAAAGATTGTTGTCACGTACATGATTTTGACTTAGAGCCTACGTGCCCAAACTTTATCTGAACCACTGCCCCCTTTTCAGGAGAAAAAAAAATGATTGAAGGCTCGCTCCACTGGCAATGAAAACACATATATGCCAGCCCAGGGGCCGGCTCACTGGCTCGGAGCAAAATGCGGCTCTTCCCGTACGTGCTTGTGGCCCTGAAGGAGAATTTAAAATGAATGTAAAGCTATCATAGTTCCGTTTATAATATTTCTTTAAATTTCCCTTAGTTACAAAGATAAATTTGTGGCTTTCAGATAATTTTTTAATTGCTTGAGGGGCAGAATTGCCTCTTCTGTTTCAAAGGGTTGCTGACCCTGCCCTCGCCCATCCATGATCCAGGACAATGTGTGGGGTCAGCTTTTGCAGATACCGCCAGGAGGCGGTATCGCCCACTTTGGGGAGCTCTGTGGTGGCAAGTTCCTGGCTTGGGGTCCATAGAACTACCATTTGTGATAGGAACATGCTGATTGCCATCAAAAGTAGTACATGCCCACTGCCGTGTCAGTCAGCTGCTACGTGCTCATCTTCCTCATTGCCGTCCCGTCTTTTCTTGTAGCAAACCCTACGAACAAACCCCAAGCCCCTACACCGAGTGGCTCCCACTCAGTAGTAGAACTGGGCCGTGGGCTTCCCAAGCCTCGGAATCTTGACAGAAGCAGCCTGCTTCATCTGTCCCCCTCGAGCAGTGGGTGGAATCAAACCACCAGCCTTTCAGTTAGCAGCCCTGGGCTTATACTGTCCCCCCACCCTTGACCATGTCCTTCGAGAAAAACCAGACTCAATGCCATTGGGTGCCAACTCATAGCAACCCACAAGGACAGGTTAGAATCTCCCCTGTGGGGTTTTGAGGCTATTACTCTTTATGGAAGTAGAACGCTCTATCTTTCTCCTATGCTGTGTCTTTAGGAGGTAAAAATATTGTGGAATGGATTGGTGACATGGGAGAGAGAGAGAGACGTGTGTGTGTGTGTGTGTGTGTGTGTGTGTGGGTGTGGGTGTGTGTGCCCTTTGGTTGGTGTGTCCTCTCAGTGGAAGCCCACCTTCATTTGCTGCAGGTTCCCATGTAAAGCTGTGTCTGACACTGATAGGAGATCTGCTGTTTTACAGGTTGCTGGGACGTGCCTTGCTTTATGTTTGTCAAGTGACTTGAAGTCCTTATCGGTGGTCACAGAGGTTGTGACGGATGGTGCCGCAGAAGTCTCATACTTCCAGGTGAGTGCTGATACCTGCCAGCCATGGAGAGATTCTGGAGGTTTTGTATTCTTCGTCGCTGATTCTCAACAACTCACTGCCATTGAGTCAGTGCCTACCCACAGCTACCGTAGGAGACAGGTAGATCTGACCCGTGAATTTCTGAGACTATAACTCTTTACTCGAGTAGAAAGTTGCCTCTTTTTCCTGCCAAGCAGCTGGTGGTTTTGAACCACTAACCTCATAGCTGGCCCAGCACCTAACCCACTACACCATCACAGCTCCTATCACTGACTCTAGAGGTTGTTAAAATGGAACCAAACAAAAAACTACGACTGGTAAGTTTCCAATATAGAGTATATTATTTTTTTTAAAAACTACTCAATTCTGACTCATAAGGACACAGTAGAACTGCCCTTGTCAGTTTCCAAGGCTTTAAATCTTTATGGGAGCAGAAAGTGGCTAGTGGGTTCGAATCGCCAAGCTTGTGGTTAGCAAGCCAGAGCGTAATCCACTATGCCACCAGGGCTCCTGAATCTTTTTAGAGTGAAGAGCATTTGGTTGTTTGCATGGTCCAATCATGCTTTCATAAAGCCAATGCTTTGCTGGTCTGTGAATGACCTGGATGCTGTGCACATGTCTCCTGCAGACTCTGATCCCCGCAGTGATAATAAAAAATGCTCCCTTCTGTGGATTGTTTTGAGAACGGCAGGTGCCAGGTCTTCACAATAGTGATTTGGATTTACACAGCAACCTAGCAGGTAGAGATGAGTGTTATCCCCATTTCTGTCGGGGTAACACAGCTAACACAGAACATGCTCGTTGGCATAGGACTGAGAAGTGAGGCTGGGAGCCACTGGGTGTCCAAGACTGTAACACTTCATGGAAGCCTTTGTCCTGCAGAGTGGCTGGTGGTTTCGAACTGCTGATCTTGGGGCTAGTTGTCCAATGTGTAATCACTACACCACAAGGGTTCCTGGTGTGAATGGCACTAGCGTTTGCTCTGCGTTCAGGGGTTGGTTTGTGAGCTGGGAGGGACTGATTGACCTGTAAAAGAAACAGGTATATGTGAGTGTGACTCCATCTCCTCTTTTGCTTTGACAGCTGGAAACAGCCCTGCTGTACTCGTTCCTACCTGAGGTCACACGGATGGCCAGGAAGTTTACCCACATCTCCGCGCTCCTGCAGGTTTTTGACCATCGTTCCATGTGACGGCGTGCTGTCAGTTTCTAAAGTTCTGTCAAAAACCCACTTTATTTTATAAACCTAGCAATCTGGGGGGAGTACTGGTGGCCCTGTGACTTAGCATCATGCTGCTGAGCACAAGGTCGTTGGTTCAAACCCACCCACCAGTCTGCTCATGGGAGAGAGAGAGGCTGCTTACTCCTGTCAAGGTTTCAAAGTCTTGGAAAGACTGTATAGCTGTGAAAGGTCGATGTCAACTCAATGACAGTGGGGCTTGTTTAACTGTGAGTTCACTGCCCTCAAGTCAATTCCGAATCACAGTGGCCCTGTAGGACAGGGTAGAACTGCCACTGTGGGTTTCCGAGACCACAGCTCTTTATGGGAGTAGCTGAGTGGCTGATGGTTTTGAACTGCTGACCTTGTGATTAGCAGCTCAATGCGTGGTCCACTATGCCACCAGGGCTTTTGTACTGTCGATCAGTGGTAGAGCTGTTTAATCTGATAACCTCCATCAAAGCGAGAAAAATAATTGAACTGAGACTCCATTCCCACCTAACCCACTTTCCCACAATAAAGAGACAAGAAGGAAAACACAATTGTTTAATCATTTAAAGCATTCCCATAAATAACCCCCCATCTGACATGTTTGGTTGTAAGCACAGTGTAGGCATCCTGTTGGTTGGTTTTTGTGCCCGATAAATGCTGCTCTGCTCGCGATTATGCAGGTTGCTGCCTCGGGCAAGGTTCATCCTGGTGGCTGTGTTGATGGGGCGTCTTCCCCTCAGCTCGGCTGGTCCCAGGCATGCCTTGTGGCAGCCGACTGGTGGAAATGCCCTGTACTGATTGCTCCCTACTCCACACCTGTTCCCTCAGCCAGTCCTGGCTGACAGGGCCTTCCTGTGCAAGCAGATGCAGGCCGAAAGGCCTGGGAGGCCTGGCTCAGTTTTGCTTCTACTGCATTGTGTTCACCAAAGCCAGCTCCAGCCCAGTCTAGCCCAGGTTCAGGACCTGGCGAAGTGAGCCCACCTCGTGCTTTTAGAGAAGCTAAAAGGGATTTTGGCCTTTTCTTTTTGACTCTTCCACTGGCCTTGCCTTCCTGCTCCTGCCTGCGTCTGAGCCCCGACTGGTGCTGCACTGGGTGGAGGCTCCTGAGGAGCGCTGTTGCACCTATTACAGAGCTGGTGCTTCCTGGGGTGGGTTCAGACCCAGCCCAGCTCTGAGGGGTGTCTAACGTTCCATCAGTCTTTTCAGACCAGGAAGTCTGTCTGGGCTTATCTATGGTTTCCACTTTTGTTCTTTCTCAAAGCTCTTTTTAAGGCTCCTGTTTTCTTTTTGTTTTTAAATCCCCCCTTGAACCCTTGCTAAATTTATAAATTATTATTTTGTCAGATCTTACACGATCCGACGTCTCCCTTCACCCACTTCTCCGCTCTCTGTCCCCCAGAGAGGAGGTTATATGTAGACCTTGTCATCTGTTCCCCTTTCTCACTCACCTTCCCTCCAGCCTCCCGGTATTGCCACTCTTACCACTAGTCCTGAGGGGTTCATCTGTCCTGGATTCCCTGTGTTTCCAGTTCCTGTCTGTACCAGTGTACATCCTCTGGTCCAGCCAGATTTGTAAGGTAGAATTGGGATCATGATCGTGGGGGGAGGAAACATTTAGGAACTACAGGAAAGTTGTATGTTTTATCGTTGCTACGCAGCACTCTGACTGGCTCGTCTCCTCCCTGCGGCCCTTCTGCAAGGGGATGTCCAATTTCCCACAGATGTGCTCTGGGTCCCCACTCTGCACGCCCCCTCATTCACAATGCTATGATTTTTTTTTTTTTTTGGTCTTTGATGCCTGATACCTGATCCCTTTGATGCCTTGTGTTCTCACAGGCTGGTGTGCTTCTTCCATGTGGGCTTTGTTGTTTCTCAGTTAGATGGCCCCTTGTTTATCTTCCAGCCTATAAGACCCCAGACTCTATATCTTTTGACAGCCAGGCACCATCAGCTTTCTTCACCACATTTGCTTGTGCACCCGCTCTGTCTTCAGCAGGATCCTGTTTTCAAATCGAGTTGCTGACCCAGCATTTTGACAGCTCTTGTTCATAAACCATATTTTAGCCTGGAAAAGCCAGAGCTTATTTATTTTACCAGTTAGAAACGTAATTTATGAATGCTTTATTGCAGAATTCTAAGACTTGCTGACTGAAGTGATTACCAAATGTTAACTATGGTCTTCTCAATCTCTGAGCTTCTCTTTATCTTCGGCTTACCTGAGCTCAGAGTGATGGAAAGCAAGTTTTAGATTTCTCTGAGATCATTGACCATAAGAAGCCCGTGCTACTTCATTAGCCTCTTGGTGTAAATATTTTCACTAACTGAATGCTGTTGTCTTCTTGCGTGCAGTATATAAACTTGTCACTGACATGCATGTGTGAAGCCTGGGAAGAAATACTCATGCAGATGGATTCTCGACTCACCACGTTTGTGCAGGTGAGGTGATTGGTGTACCCGTGGAGGGAGAGTGTGTAATGCCCTTCTTTCCCTTACAGGTCCAGGAGACACAGGCCTACTCCCCACCACCAATAAATACAATCAAAACCTACATGACCAAGGAATTCAAAACCACAGTTCTCTTCAGAGAGATCTACACAAAGCGCTCCCTTCCTTTTGATACATGTCCGTGGGGGCAGGATCATGGAGGGAGCGGTGGGGGGTTGGGAGAGAAGGACACACCTGGGAAGAGCTCACTGGCTGCCCTGGAGTCATTGATTCAGGTGGTCAGTTGACACATGGCTTTGGGGGGAAGATGAGGAGCCTTGGGCTCAGGTCATTCCTGTAACTTGGAATAAGTCTGTCTATAGTTTATTCAAGTGGCTGTCACTGTTTTATTGATGTTGTTTAGGAAAAGAACACCACCACGTCAGTGCAAGATGAGTTCATGCACCTGCTGCTATGGGGGAAAGCCAGGTGAGAAACTCCTGCTCCAACAGCGCTTTTGCTTGTCTCCGTGTGAAAATACTTGAGTTTATTCCCTGAGTAACTTGTGTTCTTCGACTCTGAAGAGCCACAAACGGCTGATGTCCACCACCAAAAGTATGATGAAAAATCCAATAACTTGGACCAATGTAATTAGCATTACATGCGTAGTTCCTGTGAATGGTTCAGTATGTCTCTGGAGGAGCCCTGATGGCCTTGGGTGGCTAACAGCAAGGTTAGCAGTTCGAAGTCACCTTGGGAGAAAGAGGAAGTTTTCTACTCTTGTAAAGAGTTCCAGTCTTGGAAGCCCACAGGGACCATTGTACGGTGTGCCGGAGGGTCACTGTGAGTGGGAATCCACTCTCTGGTTGGGTTTGCTATGACTTAGATTCCCGGTGACAGTGAGTTTGCTCTGTGAATTTATGTTACACCAAGGCTAATTTAGGGGTTCGTGTGTACTGCATCTTTCCATGACTGATCCGAGTTGCCATTGTAGCACACAGTCCATTCTCATGCGAGGGGACTTGAAGAAGTATATGGAAAATTCTATCATCTTTTAATCCCATTCTTCCACAAACTTTTTAAAGCCCTCTGGCATATACTAAACCAGTTTCTGGTCTTTACAATCTATTGTTTTCTAAAAGATTTTATCTGGCTATCTCTTTTTTGTTTACCTTGTTTGTATTTAGAAAGTGAAACATTTAAGTCATGCCTTCAGTGGTTTTGACAAGAGAACTGGCTGAACATATTTTCTCTTCCTTCTCAGTGCTGAACTTCAGACGCTCTTAATGAACCAGCTGACTGTAAAGGTACGAAGAGGCAATGGTTTGAACGGCTTTCCTCCTGTTGTCCGACTAGCTTGTAGCTCCCCACCTGTGCATGCTGAAACTCTCGTCTTCTCTTCGTTAGGGCTTAAAGAAGCTCGGCCAGTCCATAGAGTCCTCATATTCCAGTATACAGAAGCTGGTCATCAGTCACCTGCAGAGGTACGAGGGGCTCGGGAACCTTCCCGCATTGCATAAACTCCTCTCTGTGTCGTTTCGGGGGTCTCCCGCCCTCAGCCTTTGCCTCATCCCCTAGCATTCTCTTTTTGAACCTTAGCCAGCTAGCATCGTCGCAGTGGCCGCCAGGGGCGTCTTGGCCTGCCCCTGGCATAAGGAATTCTCACTTATGCAGAATTTGCCCGTCGTCACACCAGGCTGCACCCGGTCTGGGCTCCTTGTTAGACCCAGAGAGTTAAGAGGTATAGCTTGAGCAGAACACGGAGCCTGTTTTCAGGCAGTAGCGTTGATTCCATCACATACCATTCCGTAATTCACAGAGTACATTTTATGTGCATCCTTCACTTCCCACCTTGGCAAGGTGTTGGTTATGATTCTCATTTTACATGAGGAGAAGCGGGTGTTCCGAATGGCTGGCTGAGTGACCCACAGCCTCAGAAGCTCAGTTCTGGTGCTGTGTGTGCCCACCAGCGCCTCAGTGAGGCCAGCGGAGAGATTGCTGGGGCTTTGACTGAGTCCCGCTGTGTTGAGTCCCTGGCATCCCATACCGCCTTCCTCGACCACTGCAGAAGCCTCCTGGCTGGTCATTGCTGCCACACTGTGTCCCTTGGATGCCTTCTCCACAGTGGGTCAGCTCAGGCTAGTCTCTTCAAGTCTTAAAGAGCAGTGGTTCTCAACCTTCCTAGTGCCGCGACCCTTTAATACAGTTCATGTTGTGGTGACTCCCCCAACCATACAGTTATTTTCTTTTTTAATTTTTTTAATTTTTAATCGTTTTATTAGGGGCTCATATAACTCATCACAATCCTTACACACATCAATTGTGTAAAGCACATTTGTACATTCATTGCCCTCATCATTCTCAAAACATTTGCTCTCCACTTAAGCCCCTGGCATCAGCTCCTCATTTTTTCCCCTCCCTCCCCATTCTCCCCGCCTCATGAACCCTTGATAATTTATAAATTGTTGTTTTGTCATATCTTACCCTGTCCGACATCTCCCTTGACCCACTTTTCTGTTGTCTGTCCCCCAGGGAGGAGTTCACATGTAGATCCTTGTAAAAGGTTCTCCCTTTCCAACCCACCCTCCCTCTACCCTCCCAGTATCACCACTTACACCACTGGTCCTGAAGGGATCATCCGCCCTGATATCCTTGTGTTTCCAGTTCCTATCTGTACCGGTGTACATCTTCTGGTCTAGACAGATTTGTAAGGTAGAGTTGGGATCATGGTAGTGGGGCGGGGTAGGAAGCATGTAGGAACTAGAGGAAAATTGTGTTTTTCAACATTGCTACATCACACCCTGACTGGCTCGTCTCCTTGAAGCCCTTCTATAAGGGAGATCCAGTGGGTCTCCACTCCCCTCATTCACTGTGGTAAGATGTATTTTCATGGCTACTTCATAACTGTAATTTTGCTATTGTTATGAATCGGGCGATCCATGTGAAAGGGTCATTCGACACCACCACCACCCCCACCACCCCGCCCCCAAAGGGGTCGCGACCCACAGGTTGAGAACCACTGTTCTAGAGCCTTCCATCACTGAGGACCAAGATCAACCCCCTTTCCCCAGCCTCTAGCCTGATGGTATTGCGTTGCTCAAACAGGTAGCCTTTTATTTTCTCCATTTGGACGTTTTGTCTCCCATATCATTCCTGGGACACTCCCACCCTGCTCTTCCCTGACTTGCTTCAGCTCTTGGTTTCCTGACCTCCATTCTAGAGCCGCTTCTGTTACACCTGTGCCCGGGCCGTTCCCCTGGGGCCCTGTGTACCTAGAACAGTCCAAGGCGTGGTGGCCTGGTTCCGACTGGCTCCCCTGCAAGCCCCTCATTCTGGGGAGGACCCTCCTGTCAGGCTCATTGCCATGGCCCCCGTGTCCAGCAGTGTTTGCCTTCGCATAGCCACTTAGCACATGCTGCTGATTGGTGACGACACACACAGCTGTTGGGTGAACAAGGTGACCATCTGACTGACTGCCAGTGCCAGTACTGAGTGGGTCTTTATTTTTTATACGTATTAAAAATTAGATCATCCTATAAAATTTAGTCCTGTCACGTATTCATCTCAGTAATCAGACGACCAACCAATCTGGTCCCGTTTTTAGAACTAGCTTTGTGAAATGACCATTTCTCTCTGAGAGAAATCCACTTTCAGATGGTGGCAACCACCTGCCCACCTGAGGGTAGTAACCCTGCTGCTTTTCCTCCTGCCCCACCCTTGTGCCAGTGGCTCGGAGTCTCTGCTGTACCACCTGAGTGAGCTGAAAGGAATGGCCTCCTGGAAGCAGAAGTACGCGCCCCTCGGGCTCGATGCGGCAGGAATCGAAGGTAGCTCTCGGCTTCCTCAGTGGGATTTGGTGGGCCCTGCCGGCCGGTGTAACAAATGCACGTGTTCCCGTTCCCTTTAGATGCTATCACTGCCGTGGGCTCTTTCATCCTCAAGGCAAATGAGCTTCTGCAGTAAGTATCGGGACCAGAAGTTATTCACCTGGGTCTCTCGCCGCCTCCTGAAATAAGAACCTAGCCGGTGGTTAAGGTTTTCTGAAATTAAGTGTTGTATTCGTTTATTTTTCAATTAAATTTCCCATGATTTAAACAGGCCAATAGCACAGGGATCTTTTGACATAAAATGTAGTCTCCTGCCCCACAGCCCTGGACAGGATGAGTGGACCAGGGGAACACCATGTTATGTCAAAAGATCCCCGGGCGGTTGGCCTGGGAACTGTGGGCACTCAGTAACCCATTGTAACTCGGTGTCTCTGAGAGATGGTCCTGTACTACGGTTTCCTGAAAATCTGTCCATTTTCAGACCTGATTCTTCCCTTCACTTGTTTGGTTTTGCCCTAGGCTCTGTTTGCTTCTTTTCCTGTCACTTTCTTAGGCATATCTTAAGCACATGACATCATATCCCTGGAATTCACCTCCTAGCCAGACCTCTTCTTCTTTAGCCTGCCTTCTCTTGCTTCTGAGGAGCGTTGGGGGCCCTGTTTAGGCATCACAGAGAAGCTCTGGGGATTTTCTCCCCTAAGAATTTCTGCCTGCTCTCAGGACAGTTGGACTCAGACCTTTAGGGTCCCTGTGAGCTGGAACAGACTTGTCGGGGTGCCTCACCTCTCTCACCTCACCTGCACGAACGTGCACTAGGGTTCCTGGCTGACACCTGCAGGGCTCTGCTTTCCTGGCCAGCTCCCGAGTTTTCAGGGTGCCTGTCTTTCTTGCTTCCTTTAGTCATTTTGCTGGAAAACATCCTCCATTAACTTCTTCAGAAAGCAGATAACCCAAAGAACCCAGCCCACTGCTCTGGAGTTGATTGGTTCTAGCTTATAGCAACCTTATAGGACAGTCTGAAAGTTGGTCACCTTGTGTGTTTATGTATGTGTATATATGTGTGTGTGTGTGCATATATATCTATGAAAGACACTTGTGTCAAGAAAGCAGCCCAGCCCAGTCCAATTCAGGAACCATCTATGGAGTATAGGTGGAAGATGTGGAACAATAAGAAAATATATCTTGCTCCCATCTGCTTTCTAAGGAGCCCTGCTTTCTAAGGAGCCCTGCTTTCTAAGGAGCCCTGCTTTCTAAGGAGCCCTGGTGTAGGGAGTAGAGTGTTGGGCTGTAGTGGTGTACGGAGTAGAGTGTTGGGCTGTGGGATTGTTAGGTTTTGTGTCAACTGGGTGAAGCTGTGGGGAGGGATAGGTGGAGTCCAAGCACTCAGTCAGGCCACAGCCTGGTGATGGCTCCTTGAGCTACAGCCTCCTAGATAAGGGGCATGGCCGCTCTTCTCCTTGCTGCTTGCTTGGACCCTGCGTCTGGGTTCTGGGGCCAGTGGCGCATGAGGCCTGTTGACCCTGGGAGCTGCCAGCACCCCGACCTGATCCATGACTGCACCCACCAGCCTGTGATCTCCCAACTTCCCTTTTCACCTTCCTGCCTCATCAGCTGGCTGCTGCATGAGTCTGGAGGTGGCTCCTAGCCCCTGGGCCTGAACCTCTGAATGCGTTGGTCCATTGCATTCTGGCTTTCTTGTTGCTGATAGGTGGCCAGGGCTCCTCAGTTCCTATCCCTTTGTTCTATTCCTCATCCCTAGCAGGTCCCCTGGGTGGGTTCTTTGTTTCTGAGACCTGGAGCGGACACTGACTGGTCTCATGGTTTTGGAGAAAGCCTGTTGACCACGGTGTGTTTGGTTTTCATCTTCTTTCTCCAGCCACACACAGCGTCCTACTGTCCTCTGTTGAAGCTGACATTTGGGATGTGGTGGGGACGGCATCCTCAGGACCAGACAGCTGGCTGCCCGTCTGTCCCTCTGCGTACTGCCGGTGTGTGGCTTCGGCGGCTGAGCCTCACCGGGCCTGTCTTCCTTCCTCCTGTTGTCTTTGTTAGTGAGAGTGTCCAACACACCCCCCACCTCCATCTACTGCCGTTTGAATGGTGCTTGGAAGAGAGGAGCCCTGGTGGCTCCGTGGTTAAGAGCTCAGCTGAGAGTGGAAATGTCAGCAGTTTGAGTCCACAGACACTCTTGGGGAGACAGGTGGTATTCTGCTTCCAGAAAGACTTGTAGTCTTCAAACCTTGTGGGGCAATTCTACTCTGTCTATAGGGTCATCGAGTCAGAATCCATTTGTTGGCAACAGGTGTATTTTATCTTATTTTTTTGAGTTTTAGAAGGTAGACACTGTAGATATTTGGGTTCAAAGGTGAAAAAAGAAGAGAAATGAGATTACTTTTTCTGTACGTTGGTATTTTTTATTTTCTGAGAGTAAATTAAAAGTATTCATTTTCTTCGATCCCAGTTGAATATGATTGAGGGTAGCATCTTCACCTCACTCCTCTGAGGTAAGTAGAGTATTATAGGTTATACATGGGGAAACTGAGGCATTGAGCCCATTGATGTTGGACTCGAATGGAATGGTATCCTGGGGTGGGGGGTGGGGACTGGCTAGGAAGGGCACAAAGGGGTGATGGGAATTTTCCCTAACTTGATTGAGGCGAGGTGGTGGTTACAAGGGTCTAGAAATGTATCAAACTTTTTCACATAAGTGCATCTTATTTTACATAAATTGTACCTAAATAAGGTTTGTTTTTAGAATGTGAATGTTAATATAGTCAAACAAAAATTTAAATAATGTTTATAGGATGTCTAATTAGTATTCTGTGGTGCTGAGGCTTTTCCCCCTTCATTTTTGCTGCAAGAGGGTTGTGCACATATTGCTCGATAGCACAAGCTGTCACATCCTCGTATTTCAAGTGCTCCTCTCTGTCAGAAAGATGAATGGTTCTGACCTCCCTCTCCAGGAGGCTGGAACTTCGTGCTTGGGAAGGGCTTTGAGGCTTAGGAGTGAAAAGTACAGGGGTATTTGCTTAGAACCTGAGAGATGTGAACGGAAAGAATTTTTTTTTTTTAAAGACACTCATCTCTGTATTCAGGAACCAAAAGCTAGAACCAGGCCCACTGCACTGACCCTGTAGGATGGAGTAGAACTGCCCCAGTGGGTGTCCGGGCTGCCCCACTTTCCAGGCATCTTTCTTCTGAGATGCGCCTGGTGGGGGACCTCGCGGTTATCAGCCCAGTGTAGGACCCACTGCACCGCCAGGGCTTCTGTTTGCACGCCGGTTCACCAAAACGAAGCTGCCTTCCATCTCAGCCCTTCGTTTAGGAGCACTTGCTAAAGAGGCAGGACACTTCCATTGGGAGATCCCATTAGGTACTGTTAGCATCAAAAATCAATTTCCAAAAGCAATATCCACTGGTATCAGAGAATGACTTAGAACCAATTTATAATAGTGATTTTCTGTGGGGCCGAGGCTGCTTTTTCTAAACAACCAGCGAGCAGTTTTTCAAAAGTGAGAATAATGCTGAAAATGGTTCTCCCCACCCCACCCCTAATTTCTTCTTTTTGCAAAGTTAGAAAAGGATTTCACACTTTCCCAAGTGCTAGAGCAAAGACTATTACACAGTCTGTGGCCAAGCTGTTTTAACCTGCCGGAAGCCAAGCGCTTGGCTTTATTCCATAAAAGAATCGGGATTTGCTCTGTGTGTTTGTTATTTTTAGGTGTCCGTTTGATTTGTAAAACTTGCCATCCCAAAGGCATAAATGTCACCCCGGTGAGATGAAATCAAGCGGTGGGGCTTGGGCTGTCCGGGACATCTCAAGCAGGCTGCCCGGACCTCACGTGACCACGCCTCCTGACGGCTCTGTTCCTGTCGTTGCAGAGTGATAGATAGCAGTATGAAAAACTTCAAAGCCTTTTTCCGGTGGCTCTATGTCGGTAAGTTCACTGACTCCAACGTTCTTGTAGCTTTAACACTGGGTAAGCCAAAGCTTGAGAGTGCCATCTAATAAGGCCCGCAGGCCTGTACAAGCAGAGAGAACGGTAGTGCTCGTGTCCCTGTAAACATACATCTGTGTCAGCTTCTGCCGTGGTGTTTGAAATATGCCATGTTTGCTGGCCGCATAAGATTGCCTTTGTGTAAAACTTCCTGTGATATGTAGGTGCTGATGTTCGAAACATGGTGATGTCCCGCACACTGTACCATCAGCAACCAGAATGGGGAGCCAGAGTGTTTATCAGGCCAGCCTGTTTACGATGAGCATTGTTGTATTAGACTAAGGAGTCTTGCAATGCTGGAACTGAACAGGACCAGAGAAACAAGCGATTTTCTCTTCCAGTAGCCTGCGTGCTGTTGTCATTGGAGGTACTTTAGGCAGCTGCTGCCCAGAGCGTGCCGGGTTGGAAAGTCTGAGCCCTGGTGGTGCTGGGGGTCAGGTGCAGGGCTGCTGGCCTCAAGGTCCACGGTGCAGGTCCACCCACCCGTCACCTGGGGAAGAAAGCCAAGGGGTTTGCTCACTGCAGGCTTCCAGCCTCAGAAACCCTACAGGGGGTCGCTCTGAGTCGGAGTCCAACCCGATGGCATTGGGCTTGGTTGCCATCCCTGGTCTCCCTCATTCGCTAGCTGTTGTCTAGCTAGTGAGCAATACTGTTCTGTCAAGTGGAAGAGGCCTTTTCTGCTGCACTGCCGTGTCCCGGGCACCGACACTGTGCTCAGGAAAGCTTGTTTGGATGGACCAAGGAATGAGTTGAATCAGATGACGGCAAGTGTGTTCAGATCATTTAGAAGTTTGCATTGATACTGTAGAATATGGTGTATTTGCACAGTAAGCTTTGTCTTTGTCCAGTGTCTTTGTCCAGTAAGCTTATTAGTGATGAGACACTGCAAAATAGTGTGCAGTTTAGCCCCGATGTCCCTAACCCCACTGCCATCCAGGGGGTTCCCCCCTCGTGCCCCTTACACGATTGCTGAGGCTGGGGTCTCATCCGTCTCCACTGGGCAGCCTGGGCTTGAATCGCTCGCTGACCCAGGGGTAATATAAAATGCGCAAGACTGATGAGGACAGGCTCATGACAAGGACACAAAGTCAACTGTAGGTGGTATGCTTTTTTTTTTTTTTTTAAGCATATAAATATGCATGTCTCTGTGCTCATGCATATATGCGACTATTACTATCGATGTTTTTGTGGTGGGGGCAGGAGGGGGAAGGTGATGAGTCTCTGGTCTTTGCTATTCTGAAGTTGTTGGTGGCAAGAGCTCCGTGCAGATTTGGAGGGAGGCAGCAGGTTGGGTCAGGAAGAGGGAAACCTGCCCGGAGGGTCTAGGCAGAGGCAGCAGTGAGTTTGCCTGGTGTGGCAGTGGGTGGAGTTAAAGGAAGTGAGGACATTAGAATGCTGAGGCCTGCAGTTTTGAACCGGAAAAATAAATCAAATTTAAGTTCTCTGCCTTTAGTTTGTAGAAGAATGCCTCTTTTCCCCTTTGGTGCAGAAAGAACACTGTAAAACTCAAGCCTACGGGAAGCCGTTTCAAATTGATTTCAGGTTAGGTGGGTCATTTTCCTTTCAAGATAATTGTAGCTTTTCTCTTCTCAGCGATGTTGAGAATGACCGACGACCACGTGCTGCCCGAGCTGAATAAGGTAGTGTTTCTTAAAAGGCCTTAAAGTGGTTTTTGCCACCTCACAGAAAACCTTTGTTATGGTATCTATAGGTGCCATCCCAGGTTTGTATGAGGCTACAGTCCTGGTGGTATAGTGATTAACTCGCGCTGCTAACCCAAGGTCAGCAGTTTGAAATCACCAGCCGCTCCTCTGGAGAAAGATGGCCTTTCCACTTCCGTAAAGAGTTAGCGTCTCGGAGGCCCACACCACAGGGCAGTTCCACCGTGTCCTGTAGGGTCGCTGTGAGTTGGCCTCCGCTCGGTGGCAGGGAGTTGGGTTTGGGTTTAGCTGGAGGCCTGGGAAGCAGCAGTCTCTATTAGACTATGAGGTTTTTGAGAAGTGGCAGTGGGAGTAGCCTTCCAGGAAGATGGTTGGACTGGACAGAATTCACACTTGTTTTTGGCAGCTCCCTCATCTGACATCTGCCCAAACTGTCTGTTTCAGGAGGAGTAGATCATTCTGAGCCTGAGAAAACAGATCAGAAACACGAGGTGGGCTGGGTGACCCCAGGAGCCTTCATGCATGACAGCTCTCATGCCGAGCAGAGGCCGTGAGGGCCTCCAGAGCCCTAGGAGACTGACCGGCCAAATGGACCAGTCCCTGCGGGAGTGATTTCTGGACATCACCGTTAGCTTTACCGGGGGCGATCAAGCGTGTCCACTGTGGGAGGAGCAGAGCTTGCCATGCAGTGTTTTGAGGCCCAAGGCTGGCATGGTGTGCAGACAGGGTTACTGCAGGAGGCAGACATCAAAGCTCGTAGCACCGTGGCCTGTGCTCTGGCTTTACTGTCACCCGTTCCCAGAGAAGGACCAGGAGCATGGAATTGTAGCGCAAGAAGCGATCTTGGGCCAGGGGAGGTCGGGGCTCTTGGATTTGCTGACTGGGGGGTGGGGTGGGGTGGTGGGATGGTTAGTTACAGGCTTCTCAGCTCGAGGATCCGGGTTCTCAGACACACAGTGTCCCGCATTTCTGCCCTTGTTTCTTGGAAGGAGCTTTGCCTATTTCACCCCGTGGCTTCTAAGAAACAAGAACCAAACACACTGCCACTGAGTCATGTCTGACTCCTAGTGACCCCATGGGACCAGGTCAACCTGGCCCCGTGGGTGTCTGAGACTGCTAACTCTTCACGCAAGTCAAAGCCTTGTCTTGGAGCAGCTGGTGGTTTTGAACTGAGGACCTTGAGGCTAGCAGTTCAATGACATGACCACTATGCCACCAGGGCTCCTTGTGGATAGTGAAGGGGGTGGGAAAATAACACTATTTCTTTAGCTGGGCAGCTTGCTCTTACCTTGACTTCTTTTGATAGATGACTCAGAAAGATACCACCTTTGTCGCTGATTTTCTCACAGAACATTTCAACGAGGTAGGAAATGGGTGTTTTCATAAAGCGGGGTTGTTTCCTGTGATCAACCTGGCTGCCAGGGAGAAGCAGTCGTGTTCGATCCTACTTTGTAGGTGGTCTCTGCAGTGGCGTTTTGTAGACTCTGAGCCAAGGAACTGCAGTACTGTCACCCCCAAGGCTTTCACCCACACTTGGGATTGCGTGTGTTTTATCACGGTTCATCTAAGGGGAGGGGGACTGTCACCAATGTTTTTCTGAAAACAGGTTTTCCCTTTAAGTTGATGATGGGTCTTCTTCTGTGCTGTGACCCAAGACTGAAACTGTTCATTCTTTCTAGGCCCCAGACCTTTATAACCGAAAAGGCAAATACTTCAATGTGGAAAAGGTTGGCCAGGTATGTGCTCGGGTAGGAACTCGTGCTTAGTGCTCAATTGATGGAGTGTAGTAACAGAATTGTAAACTTCAGCAGCAGAAGTCTGTATTATTCCAAGTTGGGGCAGGGGATGGGAGGGGGGGCGGGTTACAGTGCCAGGTTGTATAATAGCCCTGCCCAAAGAGAAGAAGCAACAAGACTCTGCTTCTTGGACTACATCTGTCCACGATAGGTGTCATTAGGTATTAATTAGGAATTAAGAGACCAAATATTTCTTCATTCCTTCAGAAATATAACAGTAAAGCCAACTATTGCTATCTGCTAATATAAGTACTGTTAGTGAAAAATAAAGCCTTTTCCAAACTCGAAAATCTCATGAAGAATGGCACTCTTTTATTTTTCATCCTTTTACAAATGTCTGTAGTGTCCCACTAGTAGAGGACAGCTGGGTCGCCTATCTATGGGTTTGGTTTTTTTTTGCATACCGTGTGGGAAACAGAGCAGGCGGGTTTTCATAGCTTGTGCAGAGAATTGTGGCTTTTCTCTGGGTCACCAAGTACTGACAAGTGGCAGTGTTCCTAGACGGTTCAGGGTCATGTGGAATGTAACTTGCATCTGTGAACTTCATTCGGGGTCCCCTCAGAGAACCCTCGAGCTGCCTGCCCATGGCATGGCTGTTCCCCACCACGTTTGGCTTTGGGACCTCAGACATTGCTCGTTGGGAGACGTGGGTTCCCCAGTTTCTTCTTCTGGATGCTGACACTTCTCATCCTATGGGATTCACAGGCCACGTTTGCTTCATAGCACCCCAGTCTCACCCCACAAGTCTCTGAGCTCTCTGTCTCACTGTGGCAGGGATAGGTCTTCCAAAAGCCTGACCTAGGCAGGAAAGTGTGAATTCTGTCATCAGCGAGAGCCTGCTGTTTGGCTTGAGGTGACAGGGGGCTCCCTTGGTTTATGTTCAAGACACCGGACCCAGATGTGGAAGACCGAATACCCACTGGCTTGCCCGTGAGACGAGACGTCATTTAGAACTGCAGCCCACCAGAGCCCTTTGGGAAGGGTCAGCCATGGAGGCATTCTGCGTGCTCCCTTTCTGTCGTGCAGGACACAGAGACCCCAAGTGCTCAGGGCTGGGATGGGCTCACTGTCAGGCTCAGCACGGTGAGCGCCCCTCTGGGTGTGTGCTGGAAACGAAGCCCAGGGCTGCGTGGGCACTGGGCCCACAGCCTCCATGCTGGCAACAGCGCCAGCAGACTCTCCTGCTGGTGTTCTTGGCCGCCCGCACAGTTGGCACAGTGAAAAGGGAGCGGCGCTTCGGCCTGATGTAAAAGAGCGGCTCTGGCCAGCTGGAGGAAGGCAGTGTGACCCCACCTGGTGGGGCCTGGGAGATCAACAACCCGACCCCATGGGCTGTTCTCTGTGCACATGGACATGCGGGGAGCAACTGTAAAGGAGGGCGGGCGGTAGACTTCTCAGCTCCCATGTAGGAGCCCCAGGCTCTGTTCCCAGCCAGGCACCTTATGCAGGCTGCACACACCTGTCCGTGAGGCTGGGCTGTGGCTCTGAATGTACCTTTCAGCCGAGCCTCTAGACCAGTGGTTCTCAACCTTCCTAATGCTGAGACCCTTTAATACAGTTCCTCATATTGTGGTGACCCCCCAACCATAAAATTATTTTTGTTGCTACTTCATCACTAATTTTGCTACTGTTATGAATCGTAATGTAAATATCTGATATGCAGGATATATTTTCATTGTGACAAGTTGAACATAATTAAAAATAATTAAAGCATAGTGATTAATCACAAAACAATATGTAATTATATATTGTGAAATATTTGTGTTTTCCGATGGTCTTAGGCGACCCCTGTGAAAGGGTCATTCGACCCCCAAAGGGGTCGTGACCCACAGGTTGAGACCGCTGCTCTAGATAGAAGTGGAGGCAGACGAGGAGGTAAGGCCTGGTGATCTACCCCAGAAAAGGGGCCAGTGAAACCGTGTGGATCACGGCGGTCTGATCCCAGGTACACGTGGAGTGACAGTCTCTCCAGCAGAAAACAACAGCAAGGGGTTAGAGCGTGGGCCCCTGCAAGCACCCTGAGGACCTCCCAGGGCTCCGTGGACCACTTTGACGACCACTGCCCCAGAGTGTACGCACAGCGGGTACTTGGGAAACTGACTGAGGCACTTAAGGTTAAAAGACAGTTCGTCATAAAACTGGCGCACGGAATCTCAAGTCCATTTGTGTGCTCTGCACCCTGTCTGTTAGTGGGGCAGCAACCAAGGGGTAGGCCCTTGGCGAGATGGGATGCCCGTGGCTGCAACAGTGGGCTCCCCACAACGAGTGTGAGGATGGTGCGGGTCCAGGCAGCGCCTCCTGCTGTTGTGCGTCGTGCCGCTGGCACTCGAAGGCCCCAACGACAACGGCGACCTCTGGATGTTTCCGGTTTGCTCTGTCATTGCTTGGTGCTGAGCTGGGGGGTCCTTGGTCCACTGAGAATAGTAATGCACTGTGCGAGGAAGGAGCCTGTTATAGGAAAGTATGAAGGAGGAGCTTTCGTGGCTTGCGGGCTTCTCATTCTCGCGTCTTTTTCTCTAGTACTTGAAGGATGAAGATGACGACCTTGTGTCGCCCCCGAACACAGAAGGAAACCAGTGGTATGACTTCCTTCAGAGCAGCAGCCACCTGAAAGGTACTTGTGCGCCGCGTGCAGTCCGCTGCGTGGTTACCGGGTGTGAGGCGCCATCCAGAGGGCTCTAACTCGGAGGAACCACACAAGGAAGCTGCCCTGTCCGGCGCCGTCCTCACCATTGCTGCTCTGTTTGAGCCCATGGCTGCAGCCATGTGTCGATGCATCTTGTTGAGGGCCTTCCCCCTTTGCCCTGGCCATCTGCTTCACCGAGCACGATGTCCTGCTCCAGGGACTGGTCTCCTGACAGTGTGTCCAAAGAACACCTGAGGGAAGTCCCGCCATCATTGCTTCTAAAATGCTTTCTGGCTGTACTTCTTCTAAGACATTCTTCTTCTGGCAGTCCATGGTGCTTTGCATATTCTTCACCAGCACCATGATTAAAATGTATCGATTCTTCTTCAGTCTTCATTAGTCCATGTCCAGCTTCCTTGATGGTCCTGGGAATTCTCTCTTCCTGCTTCTGAGAGAGCTCTCAATAGGGAGCTGTGGTTTTGCTCTTCCAGCAGACCATGCCCCTGAGGAAAGAAAGGGTGGAGACTCAGCAATCCCACCTCCACCCTGCCCGTTGGCATAGCAGAGCACTGCCTCCAGGATGGGATTCAAGCCCAGGGGGCGAGGCTAGACTTGATAGCACCTCACCAGAGGGATTCTGGCTAACGGGGCCCTGTGAACTGACAACATCTCACCCAGAGTGTTAGGTCAGAGAGTCCCCCAGAGGGTGGTCTTTGGAGCCAGGCTGGCCGTGTGTACACTGGGCTCTTGCCCAGCCCCGCTCCTGTTGACTCGGTTCATCTGTCTGAGGGACTCTGTAAGGAGCAGAAGTAGCATCGACACGACGAGAGGGGCCTGATAGAGGGAATCAGCAAGTGCTGAGTGGCCACCTTCTCCTGGGGAAGCAGAGCAAAGAGGCTCTTTACAGAGGTTGTTTGTCTCCTGCTTTGGGGGAGGACTTTAGTAGCATATTCTCGGCACGGCAGAAAGACGAGACTTTGTACTCCCGTAGAAAGTGACAGCCTCGGGCACCCCCAGGGGCAGTTCCACTTTGCCCCGTAGGGCCGGAGGTCAGCGGTGGCATTCTTTGCCAAACAAGAGCAGGCTGCTGGCACCATTTTGAAATGGCAAGACGAGAGAAGGGCTAACTAGGGTTCCTTATGTGCCCTGTGGCTCCTAAGCCAGCGCTTGCCTCTGAGGGCCCCGGGGGTGGACGGCGGGAAGGGGGGCAGTAGGTAGCAGGTTGGTCAGGCTCAGCATGTAATATGTGTGCTTGGTGCCCACAGCGACGGTGTCAGGTGCGAGGCCACGGTCCTGCCCTGGAAGGGGTGGGGGTGGGTGGTGGTGCTGTGCTGTGTGTTCACCTGCCCCGCCCCCCAGGTCCCCCTGTTTTCTCTTACACGTGCTATGCTACAGTTATTGCTTTCCTTTGTCTGTTTGAAAACAGAAAGCCCTTTGCTGTTTCCTTATTACCCTCGAAAATCACTGCATTTTGTGAAAAGGCGGATGGAGACCATTATTGATCACGGTTTGCAGAAGCCAGCGGTAAGTGTGGGAGAAAGGGCGGCTGTGAGCAGCCAACCAGCTCCAGCGTGTGGCCCCCGGGGGGGCCCTGCTTGTGTTTAGGGTGGGTCCCCCGAAAATGAAGACTCATTTCTTACTCAGAAGTTCCAATGTTGACTTGTGGACATTTTGCTGGGGAAGGACCGTTTCCTGTGTAACCAGAACCAGACTCGCCACCATGGGATCCCAGAGACAAGACAGCCTGGTCTTTCCCATTCCTGTGCAGGGGGCATTTAAAACGCCTCATCTCGCGTGCTCTTAGTAAAGGTCAAGGAATCCAGGTGGCACCGTGGGCTATGTTTTAGGCTCTGAACGGCAGGGTCGGCGGCTAGAAACCACCCACCACTCGTAGGGAGAAAGCGGAGGCTTTCCGTCTCAGGACCCGTAGGGGCAGTTCTGCCCTGTCCTGTAGGCCACTATGAGTCGGCATCAACGCGAGGTCAGTGAGTTCAGTTTTGAGCAAAGGTTGCTGTAATCACTTCTTCCTCCAATATTGGAACACATGAAAGAAAAGTGCATGTTTATTATATATATATTTAAAGATAAGATGTTCAGACACGGCGGATGGGCTGTTCTCTGCATTTAACTCAGGGCGTGGGCGTTTAAGCCCAGGATTGTCAGCTGACCTGGGCCCGAGTTAGACCTTCATCTGCCAGGGGCTGGTGGGCCCCTGGGGCTGGGCGGGTGGAATGGGAGCATCTGGTTGGAGAGAGGGAGGGCCTGCTCTGGGAAGAGTTTGAGTTACACAGGAACCTGGCCTGTGCTCTGATCTGCTCCCGAGCCGGTCAGAGTCTTTCTTCAGGAACAGTGAGTTAAGGGGTGTGTCTTTAAAAGAAACTAACAACAACAACAAAACAGGCAGTCATTCAGTCCGACCTGCTCTTTGGTCGATGCCTAAAACAGAAGGAAGTGTCCGTACTTCTGAAATCCCTGAACAGTCCCTGAAAACGTTGCTATCCGAGGTACTTCCTCTGTTCCCGGAACAAACTCACTGCAGAGTCCTCGTTACCAAGCTGCCATGCTCCTGTTTACCCCGGGGAGAGTGGCCTGCTGGCCTTGGGGTCTCGACGTGGTTCCTCCCTGCCCTGACCGCGAAGCTCTCTTGTGGCTAGCGGGAATGCCCGTTTCTTTGCTGTTAAGGTGGGGTCATGAAAATGTCTTCTGTGACAGCAGCATGAACTTGGACCTGTACCTGATAGCATCAGGGGTGGGGGAGACGTGGGGCACAAGGCTGCATTGCTAAGGTGGCACGGAGCTTCCGCGAGGAGGGCGAGGGCCCCTTGCAGACACGGTAATACCTGCACGGGTGGGAGGGTCCACGTGAAGAAGGTTGAATGACGAAGGTGGTCTGCGTACGTCTTCACCACAGTTTAAAAACAGCAGCACTTCATAGTAACAGGAAATGTCCTGGAAGATCTGCTCACAGGGACGCTGTGAAGTAGAGTTGCAGTGACTGGCAGGCGGTCTCTGCGTGCGTGCGTGTCTCGCTGCGTGCGTGATGCATCTTTGCCCCTTCCCTTCGCAGGATGTCATTGGAAAGTCCATGAATCAAGCCATCTGTATCCCACTCTATAAAGATACCAGAAGGTAATTCATTCCCTTGTGTGTGGTTTCGTCCAGCGGCCACTTGCCCGTGGTTCTGACCTGTCTTCCGGCTTCTGTTTCAGCGAGGACTCTGCCCGCAGGCTGCTCAAGTTCCCCTTTCTGTAAGTCCGGCTTGCTGCTGTCACACGGAGAACACACTTTGACCTGAGTCTGCCTGACTGGTGCTTGGTTCTGACATCCGGTTTTTTTCTCCCTCAGGTGGAATAATAAAACTTCTAATCTCCATTATCTTATTTTTACCATTTTAGAAGATTCCCTTTATAAAATGTGTATCTTAAGAAGACATACTGATATCTCCCAGTAAGTATTTTTCTAATGCCTGAATTGAAGAGATGAACTCATTATTTTGAATAATAAAGCACACGGGCTCTCTCGCCAAGCTCGCAGGCTTTGGGTAATCAGATGAACTCTGCCTCCGAGGCCCCTTGGGAATGCAGGCTTGTCAGTCTTTGTCTTCATATACTCAAGCATTAACAGGAGCCCTGGTGGCACAGTGGTTACGTGTTGGGCTGCCAACTACAAGGTCAGCAGTGTGAAACCACCAGCTGCTCCGTGGGAGAAAAATGAGGCTTTCTGCTCCTGTAAAGAGTTAGATTCTAGGAAACCCACGGGGGCTGTTCTACTCTGTCCTGTCGTGTAACTCTGAGTCAGATTGACTTGATGGCACTGAATATGGTTTGTTTTTTTGGTAGGGATTTCTATCATCATTTCTAGATCAAACATTTTTTTTATTAATAAGAGAACCAGCATGTATAGCTTTTTCTTTCTTTTTTAAGGTTAGGGGGAAATGCCAGCCTGTAGGACTGGGTAGAACTGCCACTGGGTTTCTGAGACTCTTAACTCTTTAGGGGACTAGAAAGTCTCATCTTTCTCTCACAGAGTGGCTGGTGGTTTAGAACTGTGGGCCTTGTGGTTAGCAGCCTAATGTGTAGCCACTCTGTTGCCAGGGATCATGTAGCAGGGTGCACTTAATATCTTACATGGCTTTAAATCTGAGAGTTGAAAGGGGATTTATTGAGGTCCAGATAATAGCCAAAGAGAAGCGATTTGGTGGTTCCATTTGACCTTAAATTTGCAAGGTTCGGCACTCTGAGGTGACTCTCAGCCCTTAGACCATTGTGGTATTTTGCTGTGAGGCGTCTCTAGCTACTAGAGTACGAGTGAGACAGTGTTTGTCCCTGAGGTTGGTGTGTCGATAAATGAACTAGAGCTGCTGGCTGGCCATGTGCTTTTAAGGCATGGAGCTGATTGGCCATCCAGGTGGTTCTACACAGTCCCTGCCCCCTTCTTTCTCCAAGGTCTGCCAGTAACGGGCTGATTGCTGTTAAATTTGGGAGCTTCACCTATGCCACAACTGAGAAGGTGAGACGCAGGTAAGTCTTGAAGCTTGCTTGGTTGCAGTGCATGGGTGATTGTGAGGCCTTTGTGTGCTTAGTGAGTGTAGTCAGACCGCCCAGAGATGATGGTGGCGAAAGACCTGTGTCATGTCCAGCAAAGTGGGCAGGAGTTGGACTTTAAACGTAGAACGGGATTTTTCTCAGAATGGGTTAGAACCTAAGTGGCCTGTAGCTGTGTGGCATGGCTTCCTGTAATGAATGCTTTGGAGTTCTCCTGTCTGCTAGACAAAGAATATGCCTCTCCAGCGCTGATGGACTATGGTGCTGGTGTTCTTGTAAGGCCAAACCAAATGTGAGGTGGGATCAGGCTCCCTTGTCGAGGATTTGCTTAGCGTATGAAAGGGCAAAACAAGACCTAAGCCAGCCCTCGGCTGTGCAGGGAAGACACTGGTCGTGAGCTGTGTTCTACTCACGCGTTTCCCTGCCGAGAGCAAGTTTTCTATGGAAAAGTCCTTCGCAGGTGGTGGCTGTTTTCCTGTGTCACATCTTCATTTCATTTTTCTTGCCGACATCGCAATCAGTCTCGTAGACTCCAGTTCCCCAAGGCGTACAGACTTCGTCATTCATGGAATTTCCATAGGCTGAAGGGGCCTGGCCGTTGGTGTTTGGAATTTTCTGGAACTCGGAACCAACATCCCAGCCTCCTTTTTCTACACAACCACCTGTTTTCAAGGCCCAGTTGCGTTTGTGACTAATCAGTACAATAGCACGCACGTGTGATTCAAGTGCGCGCTCAGAGGTGCATCTGAAATGTTAGGTGCAGACCGTTGCTTCGTCTTCCTGCTTGCTGCCAGCCTAAGGTTATGCGTGTAACGGTTTCTCGGCGGTAACCATGTGTGGAACATGTTTTGCCTCTAGCACCTACAGTTGTTTAGATGCACAGTTCTATGATGATGAAACCGTGACGGTGGTGCTCAAGGACACTGCGGGACGTGAAGGAAGAGATCGCCTCTTGGTCCAGTTGCCTCTGTCTTCTGTCTATCACGGCGAAGAGTCTGCAGACTACCAGTTTAGTGGGACTTACTCCACGAGGTACGGACTTAGAGGAACTGTCCTTCTGAGAGCACTTGAACGTGTACAGTATCTGGTACATTCCTGACCTATAGCTACCCTAGAAAACGGCTGCCTACTTACTAGATGTCTCTGTGGTCTTGTGCTCTTGAATGAAAAATGCCCAAGTGCGCGGCTTTAACAAGCAAATGTGTATCGGCTCCCAGTTGAGGAGCCTAAAAGGCTGAATTCAGGCTGCCAGCTCTAGGGGAAGGCTTGGGCCTCCTGTCTCTCTCTGGGCTGCTGCTCCTGGCCATCTCCCTATGGCCTGGCCTCTCCCCCATTGTCCGTCTGTCGCTTGCTTCTTCCCTCTCTTTCGTATCTCAGAAGAGATCAGCTCAAGACAGACCCATCTTGCCCTGCCCCCTGAACACAACAAAGAGAGTCCATTCCCAGGGGAGGGCGGAGGACTTACGGCACGTATTTGTTTCCACACTCAATTCAAGGGAGAGCCCTAGGCTCAGCCTGGAAGTGGGCAGAACCAGCCTCCTTTTGATTGAACAGCTCATGGCGGCTTCCTCGGCTCTTCTGGTCTTTACTTTTCTCGGATCTGAAGCGTTTGCTGGGCCGGTGCGGAGTCTTTGTGGTGGGAATGGAAGGCCTTTGGGTGCCCTGTTCCAGGGTCTGTAGAGTTGAGCCGGCGTGTTTTCAGTAGAACACAGGGTTCTAATTCAGGAGAATGCAGGTTCTAATTGGGTGACCGGTGGACTGGTCCTGGAACAGAGTATGGGGTCGGGCTGGTAGACAGACCAGAGACCCACCTGGTCCCTGGCTGACTGTGTTTCTCCCGTTCAGACTGGATGAGCAGTGCGGGGCCATCCCCACTCGGACCCTGCACTTCGAGAAGCACTGGAGGGTGCTGGAGAGCATGAAGGCGCAGTATGTGGCTGGGAACGGCTTTCGGAAAGTGTCCTGTGTGGTGAGTGCTGACACACTGCTTGTTCACTGAAAGGAGCCGGGATGTGACCTTGCCCTGTGGAGCGGCCATTAAATGCACGTTCTCTCGGGGCCCGGGACAGATGTGTTCAAGCTTGTTGTGTGATGACGTTTCCTTCTTACTGCTTGTGAGCACCCGGTGCCCTTAGCTGGTCAGGTCGCTCGCGAAGGCCAGCTGGGAACACTTCTGGATTTGACTCGTTGTGGGGGGTAGCCAGCCTCCCACAACTAATCACGGGTTTGGTAGGCACAATTGTAAGGTTAAGATGTATAAAGATTATAGTAAAGTCAGAGAGATGGGAGAGAGAGTAAAATAAAGAAGTCAGACACATTTCACGGTAGCATGCTCACCTCAGCTCCTCTTGGTACACGTGGAGGTGGGAGACGATGAGGTTTTATTTCTAACCAAAGCTTATATATCTGGGGGCATGCAAGCCCTCTGATTACAGATAACAGTCTACGTCACAGGAAGGGGTTGTAACATGGGAAATACAAGCAATAGGAGGGGGATGACTTAGGGGTATAAAGGGAAGGAATAGGGGTACATATGTGGCAAGATGGGCAGACCCTAGACTCACTATAGTAGCCTAACCTTAGTCATCCTTGAGTGGTCCTGGGCTTGTTTGGGGGCACTCCTTCACGGGAACAATATCAGAAGGGAGTGGGCCCTACTTAGAGTGAGTCAGACTATACCGTCTGGTTGCTCTGGATACCCTTAAGGAGAATAACCTCTGACCTACTTTGATTGACCTCCTAGTGTATAGTCATTTACCATGTGTAGCAAGCAGCATCTTGTGTTTGGCATATATTTGGGGGAGACAACTTGGGAGAAATCTTTCTGTTTCTCACAACTCGCCAATGACACGGTCATTGATTTGGGGAGTGGCGGGGATCCTTCTTTCTGCAAAGGGTCATCTGGATATTTATAGCCTCATTCACAGGCCGTCTGATCAGACATTGAGTTAACTCACCCCTGATGTGACATAGTGGTTACATGGTGAGCTGCCAATCACAAGTCAGCAGTTCAAAACTGTCAGTTGCTCCGAGGGAGAAAGGTGAGGCTGTCTGCTCCATTAAGGGTTACGGTTTCAGCAACCCACAAGAGCAGTTCTACCTGTCCTGTAGGGTCGCTGTAAGTCAGCATCGACTTCCTGAAAGCGAGCTGGAGCTTGGGAATGTGATGCCTTGTACCGCTTCTCCTTGGTGAGCGTGTGGTTGTAGCTGGTGGTGATGACTTCTCCAGCCTTACTTACGTGACTCCAGCCAAGGTTCCCCTACCCCTGCTTCATACAAGAGGAAGGCTAGAGGGACTGATTTCTTGATACGTGGGAATGTGGTTACCTTTTCTGTAAAGCCATTCTCTGATTTGGGCTTCTAGTTTTTAATTTCATACCTAAAATCTCCCTGTGGGCCTTTCTCCTTTAGCTGAGCTCCAATCTCCGCCACGTGCGAGTGTTTGAAATGGACATCGATGACGAGTGGGAGCTGGACGAGTCCTCGGACGAGGACGAGGAGGCGGGCGGCAAGCCGGGGAAGATCACGGAGGAGGCACTGGCCGAGGCCGAGGCGGGGGCCCAGCCCACTGGGGAGGCCACTGCACCCCCTGAGGTGGCTGTTAAAGTGGAGAAGCTTGACCCCGAGCTGGACTCCTGACCCACGCACCCTGGCTCTGTGTTTTCTCTGCTGTCAGAGCAAGGTGGACAGAGGCAATTGTAACCACTTGGAATCTTTTCTGTGGAACAAAGAAATAAATGGGATTTATGTACTTTCATTTTGTCCTCTCACCTCATGATGGCTTTGTCACAGTCATAAAACCCAGGCCTGTCGCTGTCAGAGCAGGTCCAGCTCCGGCCAGAGTAGACCTGAGTTCCAGGGCTGCAGTCCGACATCCGCGAGCCACACCGCCCTTTCCTGTGGGTTTGAACGCCGTCTTTCAGGTCGCAGCCATGTGCTTCACCACGGCGCCACCAGGGCTCCTGAGGCCACTGCTGGACTTTGTTTCTCTGAAGCTGTGTTGTGCAGCACGAAGAAGAGCAAGGTGAATGTGAAGGAAAAGCGCAGTCTTTCCCGTCAGACGGCCACTCTCGGGGGTGATTTGCATCTGGGAAGCAGTCAGCCATTGTTAGGACTTACGTTATTGCAACCACAGCTGGCTTAGTTTACATCTCTGGAAGGCTTTCATGGTGCGGTTTTCTATAGACATTTTGCTGATGTACTTGAGTGTTGAGAATGTATCATGGCTTAGGTCAGCTGAGCCAACTCAGTGGCGCCTAACAACTTTGGTGTCAAAGAAGCCAAAAGATAGAGGCTGTCTTTAAGCTTCAAAAGCAAAAATACTGCTCGGCACCCACCATGATTGTCTTTGCTGGGTTTGTTAATTGGGTGTTACCTGCTGTGGAGTCGGCTCCGACCTGTAAGGACCGATTGATGCGCGGCAGAGCAGCCCACCTGCCACCTGGTGCTGCCCCATCCTCACAGTTGGTTTGCGTGAGCCTTTGTTGCATCCAGTGTGTGAGTCCGTCTTAAAGCTCTTCCTGCTTCGCTGCCCTCCTCCAGGACTGGTCTCCCTTGACACCATGTCTAAGTACGTGAGACACAGTCTCACCATCCTCATCCCTAAGAGCATTCTGACTCTTCTTCCTCCAAGAGAGATTAGGTTGTTCTTCTGGCAGACCATGGTACCTGCAGGATTTTTTGCCAGCACCATGATTCAAATGCATGAATTCTTCCTTACCAGTGTCCGATGTGCACATGCAGACGGAGCAATTGGAAATACCATGGTTTGGGGCAGGCACACCTTCAAAAGTCAAACTCACTGTCATCGAGTCTGAGTCCTGGGTGGTGGAGTGGGTTACGTGTTGAGCTGCTAACTGCAAGGTCAGCAGT